GCATAGGCCAATTGACTTCGAATTTCCATATAGAACATTATACTCATCATCATTTTCATCCTTCTAAGCTCTCCCTCATATATCCACATTCTCATGTTCTTTTGTTGATTCTACTATTTATAATATTCTGACTGAGTTATATCAATGAGAGATACTGGTGTGAAATTTAGGAGGAGGAATAAAAGAGCAGCCATCAACCAATGATAGATGATAGATGATAGCCATCAGCAAATGATAGATGAGATGTTACGTCAGTAGTTTCTGGTGTAAGGAAGAACTGAGTCTCTTTGCTGAAACAAGGGTCAGAAATCATTGGTGATGGTTTTCCATGATTCCTGCCTTTCTAAATTTTTCAAACTATAGGAATGGCATTTAGTTTTTTGCTTCCGCAACCTTACTATTTATTGCACAAAACCCTACATGAAATATCTATAGTGTTTGGCTGGATCAAAACATGTTTATTTTCTTGCTGTATTACTGCTGTCTAAAGTTAGAAATGAAAGTAATATGAGACCTAATTAAGTTGGCTTTTATATACCTATTTACATTATATGCAGACAAACACAATTTTAACACTTTAAAACAGTTTGTGCATTGAAATTTGACCTGAAATTATTTCAGCCTATCAAGCTGTAATTCACCAGTGAAAAACATCTCATATTTGTACACTACTGAAAAATCTGTTAATAATAACAAATTAGGTTCATAAGCAACCACCAAGAATGGTTGTGAACCTTGTTAAGAAGGGTTGCAAAAGACTAGAAATTTGGGGTTCTCTTCAGTTTCTTGAAGATAAGCGAGCAGAAATCCAATGACAATGTTTAAAAGTAATGGTGGTTATTTATCTCCCCAAACAAGAAGTTTGGATGTAGGCAACTTAGGGTTATAAATGTCTTTATAAGGCATTAATGTTTCAGTCTTCATCTTTCTGATCTATTGTGTTCATTTTATAGCTTTTGCTTCCATACCTGTTGCCTCATGGTTTCCAGAGGACATTCTACTGTCTTGCAGCATGGGAAAGAATCAAGTCAATCAAATTATTGGGAAAGACCTTTGTAGAATTTGTCAGGGTACAACTCAATAAGGTTAAAAACTAAGCCCACCCCCCAAATAATAATGAACAACTATATACCAGAGACACATGGCACATGGGTGAAGTGGTGATGGGAAGTCCAGGGAGATTACAACTTAGAAGAAAAAATGTACAAAATGAAGAATGATATAAAAATATATATTAAAAAAACGAAGACTTAAGTAACTCTCTAGGAGTTACAGGACTCTATAGTTTTCAAAGAAAAAAAAACCCAATGTTATTTACAAACATCAAAAGTAAATAAAGTAAATCTGTTTTTGGCCAATAACCCAGCATTTTAAAGTTTAAAAATGAAGCAATTATCTAAGGAATTCATGCAAAACTCTTGGTATTGTCTGAATTACTTGAATAATTGAGATGAATGATGAAAGTGGAGTTTCTGCCTGGATTATTCAGATAATTGCCTTAATTCTAAACTTCACTTGGCATGTAGAGACCTTTCTTTAGGATATATTTTTGGAATGCTAAACGCTAAAAAAAAAATGTTCCTATATTAAAGAGTGCAACAGAAAGTTGGGGAGGAGGGCAAAGAGAGAAAGGTGGAGAAGTAGAAAGAGGAAGCGGAGGAGGAGCAGAAAGGGGGAGGAAATAGTATATATTAGTTGTCAGAATAAGACTATACTTTTCCTTCCAGTGTCAATCATGAACATTCACCTTTTTATCATAGAGTTAACTTCTATAATGAAAGGGGGAACTGTCATATGGATTTTCCAAATATAACCTGTAGTTATAACTCTCCTTTTAAGCTTCAGTTCTCTATAAAGTTTGAAAAGTTGGTAGCTATTTAATTTTGAAAGCTGAGCAAATTGATTTAAGAATTAAATGTAACTTATTTACCTTCATTCACTTGTTCCACTTCACCTTCTAATTCTTTAAGGGAAAGAAAAAAGATGTTCACATTCCAGTTGCAACTTCATTTCCTTCTTTGATAGCAGAATCCTGGGCAGTGAGCCCAGCTGAAAAATTACTTGCCAACCTTGTCTACAACTGGGTTTGTGTCATGTGACTGAGTTCTGATCCATGAATGCAAGCACTGTGTGAGACTTCTGGAGCCCTCTTTTCTGGACTGCTTTCTGGCACAAGGACAAACGTGACACTTAGGTTTTCAGTGGCCACCTTGGATCACAGGGTGACCTTAAAAAAGGAAACCTCACTAGCATGGTAAAAGATTGGAGTACAAGGAACCTGAGACTGATGACCCTCCAGCTATTAGACCTGCTTTGGGAGGTCTCCCCAAAATAGCTTAGCTTAAAAGAGTAATCACAAGTTTGCTATTTTGTTCAACACATTATTTCTAGTCTCTGTTCCTAGCAGGTGGACAGAATTCCTAAATGATACACATAATAAAGTACTAACTGAAAATATTTTGGAATTGTAGGGTTAAATTTCCAGATATGTATGTTCCTGCCACCCCCACCCCATACCCATGTCGACACATATATTTCAATTTGCAAGCAAAAATACTGTTTATTTAAGTTGTGCCTATACATTTTAGTACAATTGCAAAGGGTAATATTTGTCAAGGAAACAATGAGAAAAAAGAAAACATTACTCAAGAATTTTTCAGTATAGTGGACAAAAAAAAAGTAGGGGAAGGAAGGAGGAAAAAATAGATATGCAGTGTTAATAGCTATTTTTAATTTATTTTGCAGATTTAGCTAAGGTAAGTGCAGCATTGGTTGCAAGAGAGTGGGAAAAAATCAATTTATAGAACAGTCAGATGATGGAGTGGAAAAATGGAGTGGTAAGGAAGAATCATTTTCTCTTTAGAAGCTGTCCCAATTCTCTCCATCTTTTCTGAATTAAGCTATTCTATGAAGCTCTCACCAGTCCCCCTGTAGGAATTAACCTCTGCCTTTTATGTATTTATCAGGACTAGAACAAAGGTATAGTGAGGGAGATATTTGTCTTAGGCTCAAGATTTAAAGGAATGTCAAAAAGCTCAGTAATCAAGATAAACATTTTAATGGGGTATTTTAATTAGCACACTGCAGCATGCAGGCTAGTCTCCTATTTTTGTAAATAAATTTTTAATTATACTTAGCTTTCATCTCTGTTACAGCACTCAAAAAGTGTTTTTTGTAAACATCCTCTCCCCAAAGGGCTATACTCATTTTTGTATTCCTTACGAGCCTACTACTCTGTTTCTAGCATACAGGCCTCTTAAACACATTAAATTGATTCTATTAAAGGATTTTGCAAGAATATACTATACAGGGCACAGTGGAACTAAGTTATCATTAAATTCAACTCCAGTGAAAAAATTACAGGGTGAAGAATTCAGTTCTATGGGCAAATCACCTGACTTCCTTTTGACTAAAATCCTGAGCAGTCTGGAGAGTTGATACCACTTAATAATCTTAGGGTAGAAAATGGCAGTGCTGGAGTTTGAACCCCAGATTTCTGCTTGAAAATCCAATTTCTCTTTTGCTACTTTAAAAGTTAAATCTTGGTGTTGACCAATACAGTATTTGCAGCAACTACAACAGCTACAATGTTGGTAGCATCTTAAAAAGCAGTATTTTACCAAGTATAGTTGTTATGATTAAAATTCATTTTTATGTTTTTAGATTTGATGAGGTTACTCAAGTCTTCTGCCATAGGATCAGATTTTTATCCTATTTATTGGTTAGGAGAAGAAACATATATTGAAATGCCAAATACCTGGGGGAAATTGAAGGAATCATGTATTACTTGAGTATTAGTTTCTAGCTTCATCTTAATGTATGTCATATCCTGCATGTCATATAATGACAGGTCTACTCCTTTATTAAAATAAATCTGTGGGAAGTTCAAGCTTTTCAGCTGAAAAAGGTTATTTCAATGTGAAATATTATTATAGTACTCGGGAGTTGATTAACTTTTTCATACTTACGGGAAAACCTGTGATTATATTTTAAAACTCCATACGGTAATTAAAGTTGCTTGTGAGCCAATAGCTGTTTCAAATGTAATTTCCAACAGCATTTAATAAACATATAACCAAAACCAAAGTAAGTGTTCATTTTTAGTGTAGATTTCTTACTAACATTATAGCTTCTCCCCACTGAAAGTTGCCCAAAGAATTAAAAACCTTCCGTGATATATATACATATATATATACATATATATATGAGAAGAAACTTGTATACTGAAATGTGAAAGACCTGGGGGAAATTGAAGGAATCGTGTGTATTACTTATTAGTTTCTAGATTCATCTTAATGTATGTAATATCCTACAAATCATGTAATGACAAGTTTGCTCCTTTGTCAAAAGAAATCTATGGGAAGTTCAAACTTTTCAGCAGGAAAAGGTTAGTTCAATATGAAGTATTACTATTACATGTGTTATATATATATATATATATATATATATATATATATATATATATATATATATAATTTGATAGCTGAGTTCCAAGGAAAGTTTCATTCACAGGATCTGAACTCTATTCATCTTAGTGAACTGCAACCAGTCATCAATAACTACTAAAGGTTCACCCTAGGCATAGAAGTGGCAAGATAAAGTTGCATTATTCAAAGAATTCCTAAGGGGTGTGTGGAGATTTGCAGAAGTCTTAAAGATGGAAAACTATGTGTGCTGCTCTGATTAAACTGCCGTTAGAAGGAACTGGACAGTGTCGGTTTCAGAGCTCCAGGGGTTTCTAACATTCAGAGCCCACTTTTGGAAGCCAAGACCCCACTGGGTGCCAAGCCACCCGCAGACGGGTAGTCAGAACACCGCCGCACCAGGGGTTTCCGGTTAAGTCGAGCTCAGGGATCCCGCCTGCTGCGCGGCCCACAGCCACAACCGCAGCCCTGACCGGCCATCCCCCCCCTCCCCTCCCCCCTCCCCCCCCCCAACTCCCACTCCCACACCCCCCACCCCCGGCTCGTACCATCTCCCAGTCGCCCAGCCCCGACCGGTTCTCGCGAGATCCGGCAACTGAGCGCTCGGGGCCTTTTCAAATCGGGATCCGTTACCGCTCCCCAGGCCGCCGCCATTGTCGCGCTCGTAGCCCCTCAGCGGAGGCGGCGGAGCTGAGGCAGCGGCGGTGGGATGGCGGACGCCGACAAGCCCGAAATGGCCGGGGCCGCTGGCGACGACAGCCCGCATCCGCAGCCTGCGGAGCCGCCAGGCGAGCCTCGGCGAGAACCGCACCCGCCGGAGCCGGAGAAGCAGCCGCCTCAGCACAGCAGCAGCTCCAATGGCGTTAAAATGTATTGTCTTTTACTCCGGGGACCCGGGCGAGGGTGGGGGGCGGGCACTCGGCCTGAGGGGGCTCGAGGCCCGCCCTGGGCCTGGGTCGGAGATGACCGCCCGGAGCCGTGGGCAGCGGGAGGAGCAGGTGCAGCCCGGCCCCTGCCGGGCCCTACCCCACCCGCCACGGGCCCGGGGAATCGCGGCTCCTCCCCGATTCCTTGCCCAGGACCGCGGGTCACCCCCTCTACCCTGACTTCGGCTGCAGCACCTTTGGGAAAAGCCCCGCGGGCGCTACGGTTTGCTGGAAAACAGTCCGGGTTTTAAAGGCCTCTGGTTAGTGTTCATCACTAGGGAGTAACTAGGGATGACATCATCGGACTTTTCCTCCTAATCGCGGGGAGAGCTTATTGAAAAGGAATAGCCTCCCCCACTCCACCCCCAGGTTCTCTGGTCTCATTCTGAGCCTTCTCGTAAAGTGTTGTGTTGTTTTCTGAAGTTTATGTTAATTTCTGCCTACCCGGAGGAAGTTTAAGAATGTGCTGTGAGTCTGACTCCTTTGTAATCCCCTAGACTCCAAGAGAGGTATTTTAAAATGGGAAACATGCTTCGTGCCTTCTTTCCCACCTCCCTCCCCCTCACCCCAAGTTTATCCACCTTGCAGGCGATTTAAAAAAATACTCTGTGTGATGGTAGATTCTTATTTTGGTGTAAAGGTAAAATACGATTTTTTTTTTCAATTGAAGGCGATCCACTACTTTTAAGGTTGTAGTTGTCACCCGTGCTTATAAAGAATAGAATTGAATCAAATTCATAATAAGGGGATGCTGTGCTTCCCTTTGTTCTCGTTATATGTGGGAAATATAAAATCAAGCATTCTAGCGGGGAGGGGGCTTCAGCTTTCACGTCTTTAAAATTGGATTTAGAAGCATTTTAGTAGTTTAGTGGAAACATCTTTTTCGTGAGATGCCTCCTAGTATAAAGCAGTGAAAACACACTCTAAAGTAAGACAGGGAAATGTTGAGGGTTTTTTTGGGGAGGGGGTGCGTGGCGGGGGGTTGGTAAAAATGTTTGAAACAGTGTGGTGAGACCTGGAGCAGTCTGTGTAAGGGCTGCCTGCTGATAAGATTAGGTATCTCTCACAACTAGGTTAGGACACTTGCTCTCAATTGTGTTTGGACAGGATCTGCAGCATCTTCTACTTAGTATAGAGGTACAGGTGTAAAGATTTAGCCTCAGAGTTTGTTCAGCTCTGGGAAGTGATGCACCACAGTAACTGAGAAACTGAAAAGAGAGCCCAGCGCTTTCTACCCTGCCTTTGAAGACGCTTACTTTCAGTGACTTAGCATCACACATGAGTGAAATCCAGCAGAAAAAGAATCTTAATTTGTGTTTTTTGGTTCTATCTAGACATGGACTTGTCCTCCTTTTCTCCTGAACAAAAATATAGCCTTGAATTACACAGAGAGGAAGCCTTACTATATACTTCGGTATAATTAGAGAAAGTTAGGTAAAGCTGGTATCTAGGACCTTCAGCTCTGAAAGCCTAATCTCTTTTAAAGCATCTTTGTGGTATAGCTGGACTGGAAAGGAAAGAATCACTCACTTCTAATTGAGAAATAAGAAAATATAAGGTGCAGAAATAAAGGAATGTTACTAGTAAATACAAATGTAGATTCTTTTCCTATCACTTATAATTCATCTTTCTCCCTTTCTTTTTTCCCCCAGAAGTTGATTAAAGAGACCACTTCACACTCAGTACATTTCTTGTTCTGCCTGTCCCTTAAAAACTTAGAATGGGTTCCATATGGGTTACTGAACTGAACAAATAGGGACCTTTTCCTATATCAGTCTAACATTTTCTTTTTTTTTTTTTTAACTCCGTAAACCAAGTGGAATAGTTAATAACCCAGCACATAAACCTTGAGTTGGTTACCATATATTTTTAATGACAAGAATTCAAAGAGATGTTAAAAATGCCCAGTAGTAGTGCTTTAAAATAGAGTACCACCCGGCTCTCCCAGGTGGCGCAGCGGGTCAAAGCACAGCACTGAGAATCTAAAGCCACTTCCACATGAGTTGGATTCCCGCCTGCCCCGGAGGTGACCACATGGCGTGGCAGACCTCTCCTGACCCGCCCGCTGCTCCCCTCAGCAGTGTACTTCGTCGATCTGCCTGTTCTGCTCCCCACTCTGTCTCTGGTGAAGCCTCTCACCGCCCCTGAGCCTCTGGCCTGTACCCCAGTTCTGTATGCACAAATAAAAATAAATCTTTCAAAAAAAAAAATAGAGTACCACCTGTCATTAAGATTGAAATGACTTTTGTAGAGGTTAATCCATAGTTAACCACAGAGAAGTGAGACCAGTATCTTACTTATCTTTGTACTTAGGAGACCTGGTAAAATATTTAACAAATTCACAAGTGAGCTTTTATTTTCTGTGAAACTTTTACATACAGAGAATTTAGTTTACATGTTCACATCTTTTGACCAGAAATTAAGAGTATGTCTCTAACACTAGTCTTTTTTTTTTTTATTCCAAAATGGCCTACTAGCTCTCCTTTTGAGTAAATAGGAAAAACAGCATTATTGTTTATTATTCATGGGTATGTGATTAAGCAACACCTTGGAGTACATGGTGAATTACATCAGGCTATTTGTGGTACTTACATAAAATATGAAGCATTAGAGCAAGGAGTAGAGTCATTTTTTTGTCATATTAGGAGTGGGGAATGGAACTGGCCTTAATTTTGGATCTCATATTATTGCTTTATTCTTAAATCACATTAAACCTTAATTCTCTATTTGATGTTAGATTTGATTTGATTTTCCAGAAATCTGTTGTAATTTGGGTAGGTATAATTCAGTTATAATAGAGAACATTTTTGTGACTTAGAATAATTAGTCTTTGCTTCAAGTACATTAAAGTGGGAGTTAGAGGAAAAGAACATTTGGGAATTATTACATGAAATTCTGAATATAGTGGTGTTTTTTTTTTTTTAATATAGCATCATTTCCCTAAGAATTTCCACATGTGTTTGCTATTCCATAGTGTATTTTTGACAGAGAAAATACTCAGATATTGACTGGTCAATTATAGCTTAGATTTTTAAAAAAGATTTATTTATACAGATTTATTTTATATTTATATATTTTTTAAGATTTATGTATATAGAACTGGGGTACAAGCCAGAGGTGCAGGGGTGGTGAGAGGATTCACCAGAGACAGAGTGGGGAGTAGAACAGGCAGTTCAGTGAAGTACCTTACTGAGGGGAGTAGCGGGCCAGACAGGAGAGGTCTGCTTTGCCATGTGGGTCACCTCCCTGGCTGGGAATCAAACTTGTACTGAAGCAGCTGTGGCTAGCTTGCAGTACTGCATTCTAACCTGTTGTGTCACTAGAGAGGACCTGTAGCTTAGATTTTTATTAATTAAATCACATCTCTGAAGTAATCTGTTCTCCATAGGTAATTTATGCATTGTAAGATGAGCAATTTAGTATTATCTTTAGGATACCACTAAGTGGGGAAACTTGAATAAATCGGTCTTTGCTGTTCCTTGAATAAATATTTAAAAAAGGGTGCTTTTTAAAATGAAATTGTCAGATTGATAACTTCAAACATACATGTAAGAATAAAAGAACATAGTATGCTGAGAATTTTGTGCAATTTTCATGTTTGGTTTCTTCCAGGAAGAAAATAGGGTGAAAGGGTATTTAGCTACAAATCAAGTAGTTAATCTGCTCACCTGAACAGACAGTTATTTTAAAATGAGTTGCTGAATTCACACTAATATGTAAATAGGCTTTTTTGAGGACTGAAAAAAAGAGTTTGTCTTGTATTTGCTGCACCCAGAAACAGAAAAGGAATCTTTCTTTTGGCTACTTGCTATGGTTTTCAGAAGTGCCACTCTTTTCAGGCAAATAGAGTTGTACAGTTGAGAAGGTCCCTCCAGGCTATGCCATTTCTGATGAGGGGAGAGGTTTGGTAGACAAGATAGTCCCTGTCAAGATCTAAAAAGGTAGTAGAACAAGTTTGATTTGCTATTTCTTATAGCAGTTTTCCTGGCAGACACCAGCACTATCTGTGCTCAAATGACTATGGGTTCCCAGTTGACTTTGCATTCATTCACAGTTTAATATTTATTGTGTGCATCATCCTCGATCTTGCTGATAGGAAAGAGAAGATAGTTTTGTTATCATAGAGTTTTAAATAGTACATTATGACTTTGTTGTTACTTGCTTAGAAAAGTAGTATCTGAAAAGTTAATATATTTCATGGAACAAGTGACTAAAATAAGGGTGGGAGAATATATAGATTCCCACTACTTTTGACTTAGAAGATTTAGAGAGTTTGGGTTATAAAGCCTGGTTGAAGCTTTAAAAGATAGAATCTGTAGAAAACCAAAAAAAAAAAAAAAAAAAAAAAAGATAGATTCCTGGCCCTCCCTGGTGGCACAGCGGGTTAAAGCACAGCACTAAGAAGCTAAAGTCACTTCCGCGTGAGTTCAATCCCCACCCGCCCCAGAGGTGACCCACATGGCACAGCAGACCTCTCCTGACCCACCCACTGCTCCCCTCAGCAGTGTACTTCATTGATCTGCCTATTCTGCTCCCCTCTGTCTCTGGTGAATCCACTCACCGCCCCTGCTCCTCTGGTCTGTACCCCGGTTCTACTAGACTTCTGTTACTAGAAGAATGACTGAGGTTTGTTTTTTTTGTTGTTGTTGTTTGCTTTTTTAAATAATAGGGAGAATGATGAATCAGTGAAAGAAGAAAAATCTGAATTAAAAGAAAAATCTACAGGAAATAAGAAAACCAATAGATTTCATCCTTATTCAAAAGACAAGAATTCAGGCACTGGAGAAAAGAAGGGTCCAAATCGTAACAGAGTTTTCATTAGCAACATCCCATATGACATGAAATGGCAAGCTATTAAAGATCTAATGAGAGAAAAAGGTAACCATCTCTGATGAATCCATTTTTGGATTATTTTCATATAGGTGGGGGAGGGATCTATACTAAGCAAACGTTTTTTATTCCTCAGAGCCACAGACTCAAAAATTGATTTTTGTGTATTTCTTGACATATGAATTAATCTTTTCCTCTACACAATTTCATTACAAGATAGTATGGATAAATGAAGTTTTTTTTTTTTTTTTTTGCCATTCTATTGGGATAGTAGTGAGCCAGTATATGCATGCCACCAAGAATTTTGTTAAAGTGATTGCTTTGTCTAGTTGATGTTTTTATAGATTTCAAAAGGACTGTTGCACTAGTTAAGCAATACATTTAGCGTGTTAAAGTATGAATAATAAGGTCTGAATATATTTTTTCCAAAAGCTGTTTTGTTATTATCTTGGTGGAGTCTGGATCTGGCTGTGGAATGCATTTTGTTTGCATTGTTATGACTGCTATGATGCTGTCTTTGCAGTTCTATATTAAAATTGTGTTACTGCTGTTGCAGTTTTGTTTTCAGAATAACCTGAAAACCTTCATTTTATATACATGGTTGGTTTTGGGGGAAAATAACTTTAATACTTGTAAAAGTTAGTTTTGTTATCTTTTGAAAAATTGAGTTTCAACAGTCCTGCAAACTATGTATTTGGTTTTGAGGCTGATCTCTTCTAATAAATTTAAAAAAAATTTGCATTGGTGTATCTGTTGTAAGGTGACAACTATTTGATTGGTTTTATTCATTGACTTTATTTAGAAAGTGTGTGGCTTTCTGTGAAGCATGACTTGTAAATTTAGTTTATTGATGGCAAACATGATTGAAGACATTCAGGTAGAAAGTCACCTTAAAACAGCTGTTGTGTGTAGGCGACTAAAGTTATTTGAAAAGTGCTAATGTTGATGTTTTTTTAACATGATAGGCTAAGGGACCATTTGTATGTATATGTGCATTTGTTCACCAACTATATCATGCTGGCCAAAATATGATCTGTAGTATGAATTAGGTTAATATGGTTGTTAGCTTTTTTTTAGAGAATGTGGATGATGTATATTTCTGAAAATTAGTTAAATTTACATAGCCATTGACAGGAGGTATGTTGGTCTGGTTTTGATTGTTGGTGAATAATAGGTGCTTTTCTGTAGAGTTGTGCACAGGTGTGCAGTAAAGCAAGATATTGGTGTTTAAATGTATTGTTTCTTGGTATCTTCCTTTTGTATGTCTTATGTAGTTGGTGAGGTTACATACGTGGAGCTCTTTAAGGATGCGGAAGGAAAATCAAGGGTAAGTGCTGTGGGCAATAATCTGCTTGAGGTTTAAAAGTTCCTCAGCAGTTTACTTTACTTGTACCAGTTTTTGGAAACTTAAGTTTCATTTTGTTTTACCTTATTATGCAAGATTGAGGCTTTATACTAGCAAGTCTGAAACTTATACAAACCAAATTAGCTACCTGGAAGGGATGGGTTTTGTAAAAGCTCATAAAAGGCATACACTTTCCTAATACTTTAAGGTAATGCTTCTTAGTCAATAGATTTTAATGTAGGATTTTTTTTTGTTGTGTTTTGACGTCTTCAAGGATACTTTAAAATTACTGAATTGATAATAACCCTTTGAGTTCAATGAGAGAGACCTTTAACTTTAAGGTGTTAATTCAGAATGTATGTTTGACACAATGAAGAGCTTAGTTTGGTAGCCTGCAGGATTACATAAGAGGCAGTGCGCTGACCAATTGGTTTGAATGACATTGATGATTAAATTGACTTAGGAATTGGTTGATAGTAGATTTGATTTTTAGCAAGAAGAATGTATTATGCTAAATAATACAACAGAAAGTACTTAAAAATGTTCAATTATATTAACAAAAACCAGTTGGATGCATGAGAAAGAGAAACTTGTCATCTCAGATAGCACTTTGAACAGTAATAGTCACAAGGAATTATTTAAGAAATAACTCTACAAATTTGTTTCTTTAGCATATGTGATTTTTTTTTTATATTTAGAACTGGATGCTGTTAAATTATGTGCAGCCAGTTTTCTCTAATAGAAATGTTTGTTTAAAATGGGGTTGTGAGTTCCTATTTTGATTTTAATAAAATTGAAACATGCATTAAAGTAATTTTTGAACAAATTAAAAAAATATTTGAAACTAAGTAAGACAGGTATATTGGAACCTCCAGTTATTTCAACGGGTTGTGATTAATTTGTACCTTGACTTTTTTCAGTTTTAACTTAAAAGAAGGGTCATCTGAAAGTAAAAATGCGCTCCAACTTGTTAAGTGCTAGATTTTTACTATTTCAAGTATATAAACTTAAAATTAATGGAAAATTTGTTGTCACTTGCCTGTTATGTTCTGGAGGTGTAAAGTAAAAAAAAAAGGATTTTATTATTGATTGTTTTTAATGAATTAAATGTTACACTTATTAACTTCATCTACTGATCTAAAATTTTTTTCTTTTGCATATATATTAACAAATCTTCGTGGATTATAGGGTTGTGGGTAAGAATTTTTTTAAGTATCTTAAGTCAAATTTAAATTTCTAATTGAAAAAATTTCTTAGTACATAAACATTTCCTATAAATTTTTTCCCCATTAAGTGTGGTTGAATTCAAAGATGAAGAATTTGTAAAGAAAGCCCTAGAAACTATGAACAAATATGATCTTAGTGGGAGACCCCTGAATATTAAAGAGGTAAGATTTCTTTCAGATTTGGAATAACTTAATTACTTGAAAATAAGGAGTATTTTTTTTTCTTTTTTTAACTTTGGTAATATATCTTACTATAATCTTTTTTTATGCACAGATAATTATTATTAAAGTATTATATATTGATGAGTTTTCCATTTTTTATATGCAGATATGCATGATTTTAATTTTCTTTAAGCTAGAAATGTAAAGATGGCAAGATTAGATGCTGTCTTTGAGATAGTCATTTACAGTTTTTACATTAGGTTTAATTTTAGACATGTAGAATATATTCTTTCAATTGATAATTAAAAATTGCTATAAAATTGATAGTCACTTTTAATATAGTTAACCTGAATTTGTGTTGTATTAATATTTAAGAAAGGTGATAAATGCAGGAGATTTACAGCTTGAACTTTGAAACCTGTAAACAAAAGTGTTTCTTTTATATGGAATTGTAGTGTTATAAATTGGTGATCAGAAGATATATAACCTTGGGGGTGATTAGCCTGAACAGTAGTCATTTTTGTGTTTTCCTTTATTTCATATTGTTACTCTCTGAAATAATTTGATCACAGGCCAGTTATACATGTGACTTTGCTCAAGTTTGTATAAAAAAACATGTAGAGGATGTGACTTGGGACCCAGGAATCTCCAGGAGATAGATACTAATGACTGGTAGAAGAGCTGCTCTGTTAGATACAGTTTAAACTTAGTGAAATGAGTTCCACCAGCTCTTTCACTTTACGGCTGTGTGATTAGGCATGTTACTTATTCTTTAAACCTCAGTAATTATAATATTACTGACAGCAGAATTTTTATGAGGATTAAATCAGATATGCAGCAAAGAATCTGATGTAGAGAATTTGTATGACCTGGGGCAAATTACTTTGCCTCTTTACTTCCTTACTACTAAGTTGGGAATGATAACGGAATTTATCTTTAGTATTATATGTACTTGAAGAGTTAAAATGTGTAAAACACTCAATAAGTGGTTAGGTATGTGCTATAATTGGATATTATATTAAACACTTAGCACAGGGAAACTACATAATAAATGTTAGCTATAATAGTGATTATTATTTCCTGTCCACCATTGGAATGTTACTGGATTTCTTGTTCCTGAATATGAAGTGATAGTATCTTAAAATTAAAGGCCGTCCTATTAGCAAAGACAGTTATTGCAAATCCTTTTGAATCCCTCTAATCCTGTTGGAACCTAGGGGTCAGCAAATATTTATTTAATTTTAAAATATTTTGGGAAGTGGAGAATTGGGAGAAAGTTCAGACTTACAGTAGTTTTTATGTATAAGCCACACCAATGTTCTAAGTAATTTCCCATGTATGGCTTTTGTAGAACAGCTACCATTATGGAAAATAATTTTGATTTATGATTTGATGTTTTACAATGCTTCCTTATCCTTTTCAAAAGAAAAGCATTATAAATTCTTTATTTTTAATTGAAAAAGCAATTGGTTATTAAAGACACAAATGTTGTGTGTTCTAGTTAAGTGTTAGAATATTGTGGATCATCTACGTTGATGTAGGAGTCTTCATTTTTATCTTCTTTAAGAAAAGGAAATAGTTGAACATTAACTAGCTAAATGATTTTTTTTTTTTAACTCAACTAATGGTATGGATTAATGTTAAAGGTTCCATTCCTGAGAATATGAGATTTACAAATGGATACCTGGAGTCAGTACAAAGAACCAGTGAGAGACTAAGGAAGAGTGTATTTCTAATGTTCCTTAACAGATACTAGAATTTATTTTTTTCTTTCAATTTAATGAGGGTTTTTAGCAGTTGTGAACTTACTATAGATCTTTTTGTAGCAAAACAGGCAGTGATTGGCAGGCTGACACTCAAAACTCAAAGGGAAAAGAGGATTGAAAACATGTTAATATAGTAGGTAATTTGTTTTATGTAAATTCTGTGTATGCTATAAATATGCGTGTATGCATATTCATGTGATATATGAAAGACTGAATGTAATACTATATTAATGTTAAAATATTAAGAACAAACAGCTGTTTAATAGTTCATAAAGCATTTTCCCTACTTCTTTTCTCAAGAATAACCATTATTATAAATTTTCTATTTGTATAAGGTTTAAACCGTAGACCTGAAGTAGTTAACTTAAAAGTCTTACAGTATTCTTTGAAATATTGTTTCTTTGTATTTCTTTTTCATTCTTAATAATGGAAGAATATATTAGAAACCAGAATACTTTGATTACATTTACTTTTTCATCTTCTAAATACTAAAAACTTAGCTATTTTTTTCTGTATTCCCAGTGTGAGAATAATTAATAGTTACAGTTCTCATAATCATTTGGTATTGTATATTACAGTCTATCAGTACATTTCAGTTTTTTTGTTTGCATGTGTGTGTGTGCATACGCATTCCAACCTAATGAGTGAAGAGCATGCTAAAATACTATTTTTATTTTATTCAAAGATAGAAAATTTATCCTATGAAGTTAATGAGTAAATTAAGCAGTGTTTGATATCATTTTTCACTAGGGCATTTAGGTTTTTTCCCTTTTCCCCTTCTCAATCTAAATCATTATTAAAGATATAAAGAGATTGGAAAAGTGGATCATCTTAGTTTGTTCAAGAATGAAATTTACGTTTTGTAATAGTTCTCTTCTACCCCAGTATTCCTGGGTTTTATAACTGTTTCACTGTTGAAAAACTTTCAATTACTCTGAAATTGGCATTGCATAGGCCTCCATTGGTGAGAATTCACCAGTACATTTTGGAAAGGGAAGAGTCAGGGTAAGTACTTGGTTCTTTGAATGAGGTGTATGAGCTGTATCCTACACTACATGAGGGCAAAATTAAAAGGATTTCAAGTTCTTAAGTGACTTTAGTGATTGGAAAGTGGTATTTAACTGACATCTCTGGAGACTGAAATCGTTTGTTTGTCCACAGGTTTTTATGGGAATATTTTCTTTGGATGAGAAAAAAGTTCACTCTTCAAGAGGGCCAATAAATTGAGCCAGATTGGATAGCTGTTGTAGAATTTGAAGTTGTTACTTTAATTGTACAGTTTTACTGATGTACATCTAGTAGCATTTAACATTCAATATGTGTTATAGGATCCTGATGGAGAAAATGCTCGTAGGGCATTGCAACGAACAGGAGGATCATTTCCAGGAGGACATGTGCCTGATATGGCATCGGGGTTGATGAATTTGCCACCTTCCATTCTCAATAATCCAAACATTCCTCCTGAGGTTATAAGTAATTTGCAGGCTGGTAGACTTGGTTCAACAATTTTTGTTGCTAATGTAAGTTTTAAGTTTTAGTTTATAATTTTGTCATTCAGGATTAGCTCTAAACATGAGATCATATAATGAGATGAATCAGTTATAGGTTTATAGAACATTTTGCTTAATTTTAACTAAAGTAAGATCAACGGTAATTACTGTAACCTCAAGCCCAGTTTAAGTCAGTATACATACATCAGGTTAGACTGTAAATTTAAGTACTAGGAATTTTTGAATGAGAACTGTGGAATTTACAAACACTTAAGCAGTTCTTGAAATTAATTTTATTGTATATGATTTTTCATATTGGTGACTGAATTTCTTTAGCTTTGATATTTCATATTTGTGAATGTGCATGTTGTAGTAGTTGTGTCATTTAAGCTTATGAAAGTCAGTGATAGCAATACTTTTCCAAAATCTGAACTTCTCTTAGTAAAACAGATATGCATGTTTTAAACATACAAAGCAGGATTGAGCAATTGAGAAACTGTTTTGGGAACTTAAAAAATTAAGGATAGGGCCCTCCCTGGTGGCGCAGCGGGTTAAAGCACAGCACTGAGAATCTGAAGCCACTTCCGTATGAGTTCGATTCCCGCCTGCCGCCTGCCCCGGAGGAGACCACATGGCGAGCCAGACCTCTCCTGACCGCCCGCTGCTCCCCTCAGCAGTGTACTTCGTCGATCTGCCTGTTCTGCTCCCCACTCTGTCTCTGGTGAAGCCTCTCACCGCCCCTGAGCCTCTGGCCTGTACCCCAGTTCTGTATGAATAAATAAATAAATCTTTAAAAAAAAAAAAAAAAATTAAGGATAAGGAACAAGGTAGATGTAGCTTAACTGATTTTAAATAATTTAAGATGTTTGTATTTGAATACTATTGTTAAACTATTAAACAATAATTAGTTATAACTGAGAATTTAGAAAAGATTTGTTTATATTTATGAAGGGGAAGAAGGGTTTATTGGGTATGTAACTATATGATTTTATGTTAAGCTTGACTTCAAAGTTGGTTGGAAGAAGCTAAAGGAAGTGTTCAGCATAGCTGGAACTGTAAAGCGGGCAGATATTAAAGAAGACAAGGATGGCAAGAGCAGAGGAATGGGCACAGTCACTTTTGAACAAGCAATTGAAGCAGTTCAAGCAATTTGTATCCTGATTAACACTTTAGCACTATTTAATGAGGTTGAATGAATGATTCAGTTTGTTGAGTCATGGGATTTAGTAATGCTTAGAAAACACATTTTACATGGCTTAGAAATGTGTTTTAGACTTTAGTCTCCAGTGCATAAACCTTTACTATGTCCAAGTACTAAAGTCACTCTTAAAACTTGAATTAACCATAGTGTATATATATGTAGGCTTGATGAACTTTTTTCTGCTTTCTCTTTCTGATACACTAATTGTATGTAGACAGTTACATAATCCATTATACATTAATGCAGTTCCTTCAAATGAAGTCTTAACTATTTTTTTCAATGCTTAAAAGATTATAATGGGCCCTCCCTGGTGGTGCAGTGGGTTAAAGCACAGCACTAAGAAGCTAAAGCCACTTCAGCACGAGTTCGATTCCCGTCCCGCAGGTGACCCACACGGCATGGCAGACCTCTCCTGACCTGCCCGCTGCTCCCCTCAGTAGTGTACTTCATCGATCTGCCTGTTCTGCTCCCCACTGTGAATCCTCTCTCTGCCCCAGCACCTCTGGCCTGTACCCCAGTTCTGTATGCATAAAAAAATACATCTTTAAAAAAAAGGATTATAAGATGAAACTATAAATTCTATAGCAAAGAATTGAAGACTGAATAAATGGAGTGATTAATACAACTGAGCAGAATATTAAAGGTGGAGATTAAAATGTTAAAAATAGTCTTGACTCTAAGTAACATTACTGATGTGTTTATGTTCAAGTGTAATTATATAGTCTTAACTGATTTTCCTTGACTAAACCAACAGCTATGTTCAATGGGCAGTTTTTGTTTGATAGACCTATGCATGTGAAAATGGTGAGTTCCTATATATCACTTCAACCCTCCAGTCTTCATATATATATTTCCTGCTCTCCTCTGCATTACAGATCTTATAGTTATACAATTAACCATTTAATAAACTTTTTTGCAATTAGGATGACAAGTCTGTTCCTCATGAAGACTACCGTTCCCATGATAGTAAAACTCCACAATTACCACGTAAGTTAAAGCTGTTATTAGAAATAATAGACTGTTCTTATCCAATTTTATTTTGTGCTATAGAAAAATCTTTGTACTTTGATCTCAAGTTGCCTGTATTGTAGGATTAATTAGCAGTGATTCAGAAGACTAAGTAGACAAATGTCAGTTTTTTTCTTTTGGGTAATTTGTTTTGATTATAAAAGTAATGTGTTAAATAATTTGGTAAGTTCATTTATATTATGTGGGAAAATACTTGTGGGATATATGTATTCCTGTATTTGTTGTAGCATTATTTAGAATAGCCAAGTTATGGAAGCACCCTAAGTTCCCTAGGACACAGAAGTGGATTTGGAAAATATGGTGTAGATATATAGGGGAGTACTATTCAGCTATAAAAAGACGCACTCTTGCTGTTTGTAACCACATGGATGGACCTGGAGGGTGTAATGCTGAGTGAAAAAGTCAGAAGAAGAAAAACAAATATCAGATGTTTCACTTACATTTGGAATATAGAGAAACAAAGCAAAGGGTCAGGCAAAACCATACTAATAACAGAACCCTAGAAATCAAGTGGAATTGAGGCTACAAGAAACCTTGGAGTTGAGGAACACAGTGGGGGAGAGGAACATAGTGTGGTACAGAACTGTAGGTACCTTAGAGGTAGGTGGGGTGTGGGGACATACATGTGAAAAGGTGTGACCCTTTACCTCTGGCTCATATACAAGTGTTATAAACCATTGTTACCTAATTTTTAAAAAATGAAGGTCAGCTGAAATAGGTAATCAAAACAGAAATAGAAGGTGCTTCATAGTTAGAGCAAATATGTTTATTTTGATTATATTCTATGTGTAAATATATATACTACAATGTGATATAAATTTTATTTATTATTGTTTATTATAGAAAGTTTGAAAAAGTCCAAAACCACTAATTTTCCTCTGATGGAAAAACAAATATTTTATCACCCTTAAGTAATTTTCATTATAACATTTTTGTGTATTTTCTTCCATCTGTCCTTCTGTGTATATATTTTTTTACAGTTTAAAAGTACTATATGAATTTTTTTGTATTTCTTTGAATCTTAGTGTACACTTCAAAATGTTGAAAATTGTTTTTTTTAATGTTGAAAATTCTTTCCAGATGTTTTTCTTGGCTGTATTATAGTTTTATCATACAGATGTTCCATAACATTTCACTGTTATATACATTTACGTGTTTTAAGTCTTTAATAATCAAAAGAGAGTAATTGTAAGTAATTTTTTTTTTTGTATTTAAATCTTTGCTACGCTTTTGGTTATTTCCTTAAGATAGATAAAATACCCAGAAGTAGATTCTTAAGGCATACTCACTGATCTTTGTTTAAATAGTTTACAAAGGATTATAAACAGTAATATAATGTACTTAAAATCTTTGTTTTAATGCCTCATCTGCAAAATGGAAATGTTAATAGCACCTCCTTCATGGTGTTGGCATGAATATTGATTGCATGAGTTGATACAATGATAGGCACTTATTTCTATCATAAGCACTCAGTAAATACTACCTTTTGTTTTTACGATTTATCTCCTCTGGTTATGACCAAAATTTACTATCATAAAATATCGTAAATATAGAGACAAAAATAAAAATTACTCATGTAGCTATTATATGCCATATTTGTTTTAGGTGATTTTTTTTTAGTAAAATTTAACAGATAAATTTGACCTTTCCCTTCTGTCCTTCCTACTTCCCACTAGATTCCTTTCCAAGAAGAAACACCTTATAAATACAGTACTTACTGTTTAGTTTTCAATAATTTACCTGCACTTCACGTTTTATAAACAATATATGGAACTGTATTTGAAATTTGGTGTGTGGTGTGTTGTCTAGTTCTGCAACTTGACTAATTTAGAGATTCACTAATTTTGATAGAAGTAGCTCAGGTTCCTTCATTTTAAGTGCTAAACCACATTTATATATATATTTCTAGGTTATTCTAATTTTTTGTTATTAGCAATAATACTAAGTTGGGGAGGGCTTTTTTTTATCAGAATGCTGTCTTTTTTCAGTGTTCAAAATTACTTGTAAAGCTGGGTGGTATGGTATATTGTTTTGGGAAATATTTTTTAACTTCTGCTTGTTTTAATTTCATACTGCTTTATGAATGAATTTCAGTAATTATTATTTTTCTAAGAATTTTACCACTTTCTCATTTTCAGATTTGTAGGCATAAAAAAGTCATTTTAATTTATTTTGCTTACATAGTTGTGTCCTTTTTATTTCTGAAGGTTTGCAATTCCCTTTTTTTCCTTTTCCAGTTTTACTTAAGGATTTGTTGGTTTTAGTATTCTCTTAGAAGCAAATTTCATTTTCTGTATGTTAGTATCTGCTCTTTATTTTCTTCTGTTTCTAAATTGAGTGCTTCACTAATTTTTACAACCTTTTTTAATACAGGTATGACTATAAACTTAGCTGCTGTGTTTAAGTTTTGCTGTGGAATATTTACTGAGATTTAATTTTTAAACTTTTATTAAATTACTGTTGTTACTGTGATTTAATTTAAAGTTTTATTGGATTATTGTTATTTCCCTTTAAATTATGCATTTTTTATTAAATTTTCCAAATGTTTGATTTTTTTTTTTCTTACTAGTGTAGTCAGAGAAGATAGCCTGTAAGATTGTGACCCTTTGGTATCAGTTTAGACTATATTATGGCTTAAAATGTAGTACATTTTTTATTAATATTCCAGGTGTACTTGGTAATTGCAGTGTTCTATATATATGCCCATCAAGTCAAGACTTATTAGATATTTAAATTGTCTTTTATTTCTACTAATAATTTTGACTGATTTTCCTATTAATTACTAAGATGTATATGATAAAATCTCCCACTAAATGGTGAATTTGTCTTTTTTCTTGTTTTTACTTTATTTTGGAACTTAGTTGGTGAATTGTAGTGTGTATATATATATATATATATATGTATATATATATAAGTATATAACTCATATTTTCCTAATGAATTAAAATTTGGTCATTATAGAGTAATAACTGCCTTTTGTAATTGTTTTTAAGCGTGTTGTCTAAAAATATACAGTACCTTCTGTTCATTCATTGATTTGTTTGAATTCCTGTTGTCTTACTTTGTGTTCTGTTTTTCTGTGTTTTACAAATATTTTTCTCCTATAGTAGAAAACCTTTGAAACCTTCACTTCTAACCACAGCCGTATTGTATTGTGTTATTATTTAGAGTTTTAGCTCTCTGTTGCTCTTTTTCAGTCTCATAAATTAGGTTTTATTACTTACATTTTCTTGTTACTTTCACATTTCATTTTTTTGCTTTCATAGACTCTGAAGCATGTTTTTTTAAAAAGATCTTTCAATAAGAATGTTGATAGTAAAGTCTCTAAATTTTGGTTTGTTTATGAATGATTTTAAAGTAGTTTCACTGGTTATATAATTTGAGATTGATAATTATTTTCTCTTAGCGCTTTGAAAATATTCCACAGTCTTCTGGCTCCATTACTATTAAATCCTTTTTTTTTTCTTTTTTAATAAAGTAAGCAGTGTTCTTCATGTAGCTGATTTTAAAATCTTTAATAGTTGTAATTGTTAATTGCTGTTTATTGGACTTCCACAGTTTGAGAATTCAGTTTTTAGAATACTCGAAAATTTTTAGTGCATGTGTCTTTGATTATTACATTTTGTTACTTTATTGGACAGCCCTTTCCTGCTTCTATTGTACTTTTCACTCAGGGTGTCATTTTTTGGATCTTGGTTTTTTGTAGAGATCTCTAATTTGCTTTTTTGCGTAATAGTTTTTATTTAGATTAAAAGTATATTGTCTCTTATATTCATACTGTTTCAGTATTATTCTTGAGATTTATGTTTTTATGTACTCTTCTCAAGACATGAACTCAGACCTTGACAAATCAGTTTGTTTTAATTAAACTAATAATTATTAACTTATTTTCCTTTCCTCATTCCTCTGCTCTTGAAGTGGGGCCTTCTTATCTCCTATGTTCTTAATTTTCTTTTGGGTAAAAACAGGATTTCTCAGATTCACCAACCTTTTCTTTTTCTATGAAATGGGATCTTTGAAGAAGACCTGTTTTTCTTAATGATGATAAATATCTGGGATAAAAAGTATGAAGGCTAGGTATAATCATTATTGTTGCTGATCAAATGTGCTGTTGCTTTCAACTTGGTCATTTTTAGGAATTGAACTGAAAAATGATACTTTTACCACATCATGTTGCTCTTTCCAATTTAACACAACATACCTCCATACTTTGCCTTTTAAATACATATACATATATATAATGTGTGTGTGTGTTTATATGTATGTACACAGTATAAATTTTCTTAGCCCCACCACCTATTAATTGCAATATTGACTAGTATACTCTGGTTGAGTAGAATAAGAGTTTTTACTCAAATGTTAGTCCTACTTTGTTTAAAGGCATCAAATTATTTTAGTTTAAGAGAGGTAGGGAAAAGAATACTGGATTTAAAGTTAAAAACCAAATTCTGTTCTTCATCACATAAGTGTCATTGTGTCAAAATTTCTTCTATAAATATAAAGTAAGAAGACTTTTTTTTTTTTTTTTTTTAAGGAGAATTAGAAGCTTTACTGTTTGGTTCATAGATATAGCACAAAGATAGTTTCTTCCAAATTTTGAACATGCAGATCAAAATCTACTCCAAGAAGTAAACAAATAAGCACTTCTTAAAGTAAGAAGACTTTTTAAGGTGCATGTAAATATAACTATTGATGCCAGTGATAAAACTAGGAAATAGATAACATTTGCTTTTTTTTTTCAGTTTTATATTTTCATAGTTTAATTTCCAATTTGAATTATCTTAAAAGTAATTCGTAGATTTTAACTGGATCTGTGAATTCCAAGAAGATTTTCATTTTCAGATATACTGAAGGTCATATAGTGTTAAAAAATATTCTTCATATTTTATTAGTACTTTTTATACACTTTAACTGAATATAAAATGGATTCTATAAAATACTTCTTATTAGTAAATGGTATTTTGTTGAGGCTTCAGTGTGCTGTATTTGCAATAAAAACAAAATCGAATGTTCTTATTTACAAATTTGAAAATTTTAGAGGTAATATTACAGGCATATAATTTAAAAATAATTTTTAGTGCCAATTAGCTAATTGTATATGAGTTATGATATCATTCTTATGTGTGTTATAGGAGGTCTTGGTGGCATTGGAATGGGACTTGGTCCAGGTGGACAGCCTATTAGTGCCAGCCAGTTGAACATAGGTGGTGTAATGGGAAATTTGGGTCCAAGTGGTAAGCTCACTTTCTTACTTCTTTTTAAATGAAACACTTGCTAGACTAGATAAAAGCTTTTATTTACTAATTTTTTAAATTTAAGCATCTGTTTGATAGTTGAATTTTAGGATGTCATTTCAGTCTGAAAATGGAATGAAACCTTGGGAACAGAGGACATAAAAAGAGATGGGCAAAAAGGCCATGAGGGTTTTCCATAGGCCTGATGTAGCTAGTCTTTTAGCACTGTGGATTTTGAAATGCCTTTTAGGCAAAAGGAGAATACTCAGCATAGCACCTTGCATGTCATGGATGTACAGTATATGTGGAATGACTAAAATTCTATCATTATCATAAAAAAATTGTGTATCTAGTTAAGGAGTAGCTTTTTAGATAGCTATCTTGCTCTTTATGTAGCCTAGCATATAGTTTATTTTTTTTCTTAAAGATTGATTTATTTATGCATACAGAACTGGGGTACAGGCCAGAGGTGCAGGGGTGGTGACAAGATTCACCAGAGACAGTGTGGGGAACAGAACAAGCAGACTGATGAAGTACACTGCTGAGGGGAGCAGCAGGCGGGTCAGGAGAGGTCTGCCGTGCCACGTAGATCACCTCCGGATCTACGGGGCGGGGATGGAATTCCTGTTGAACTGGCTTTAGCTTCTTAATGTTATGCTTTAACCCTATGTGTCACCAGGGAGGGCCCACAGTTTTTGAAGATTTTTAAAATGTTTTAGAACCTTTTAATATTCTTAAAAATGTGTTGGAGGACCTCAAAGGGCTTTCGTTTATGTGGTTATATTTATCAATATGTATTATATCATAAATTTTTAAAAATTCCATATTTACTACAAATAACGATAGTAAACCGGTTATGTATTAACAAATTTTTCAATACAAAAAATTATACCCAGAGTGGCATTGTTTATCTCTTTAATGTTTGGCTTAATATAAGACAACCAGGCTATGGTATCTGTTTCTGCATTGTTTCAATATCATACATCATTTATCTCTGGAAAATTCTGACATATTCACAAGAGAATAAGAGTAAAGCAGACAAATTATATCATAGGGTAATTTGATGAGTAAAACAATTTTGATCTATTGGATTCTCAAGGACCCTTAGAACATATTTTGAGAATTGCTTGTTTTAACTAATGGACTAATAAGTGCTATCAGATTCCTATTTTTATTGAGATGCTATAATAATAAACTCCTCTAAAGAGGAGTTAAGGTAATTATTTTGATCCAAACAGATGGAGATTTTTCTTTCTTGCTCTCAGTTCTTCCACGCTCCTAAACACTTACTGTTTTTTATTTTACAGCTTGATTTGCCATGTTTAGAGATAGGTCCTTGATTTCTGATCTGATCTCTAAATTTACTATAGTGATACCTATGTCTATGCTGAAAAAAAATTACCATTTCTGTGTCTGATCTTATAAAAAAAAAAGTGAATGGTTGCCTAATCCTATATATTCTTTATCTGAGTAAGAGCGTTACCAGTGTATTTTATTTTCTCGTGCAATAAATATTTGAAGTCTTGAGATTAGTCAGTTGCTATGACATAGGACTTTAAACCATCTTACCTGTGCCCTGTTGCATGTCTAGTGCCCCATAGACCCAATGGTATTATTTTGTTGTATATCTTATGTCATATTCTTCAGTCACAAAGGTAAAACTTAAAGTATATACTGTGTATTTTATTTGAGGTATGGGAGTGGATGGCCCAAGTTTTGGAGGAATGAATAGAATTGGAGGAGGTATGTATAAACATTTGTTTTTTATCATATTTTTAGTAAGTTAGAAACTGCTGATATTTGCATGGAAAAAAAAGAAGTCATTGTTTACTGTTGGCTCATCCTAAAGACTCCTACCTGAAATTGAGTCTGGAATAAATTTAAGGTATATGAAAGATAATGTGTTAAGAAGCTACACAAGAGCCCTATTAAATATCAATGTGAGAATCAACATTTAATGAATGGATCTTTCATCTTTACAACTGACAGTCAAATCCTAAAGTCAATCTTTATTCCATAGGAATAGGGTTTGGTGGTCTGGAAGCAATGAACAGCATGGGAGGATTTGGAGGAGTTGGTCGAATGGGAGGTAGGTAATTGTATTAGGTGGAATATGTATTTAACATTTAGTTTTTCTTATTATCAGAATTTCCCTTCTTAGGAATGGGCACTGTTGATGTCTTCAGAGAATAAATGAGCTATAGGGGTTAGAGAAAAACATATTGAAAATGAGTGATGTATGTGGTATGTGAGGTATGTTTGGTAAGTCATAGATGTCCTTGTATTTGTGACTTTTGCTATTTTTTTAGCTTTTGATATGTTGATAGATGGATTGCCACCTACTGAGAAACTTAAAAATGGGCTAACTTGTTGCATAATCTTCATAATCTTTTCAGAGCTATACCGTGGTGCGATGACTAGTAGCATGGAGAGAGATTTTGGACGTGGCGATATTGGAATAAGTCGAGGCTTTGGAGATACCTTTGGTAGACTTGGTAGGGTTGGCTGCATACTACTTTTCTTTTTGCAGGCTATAGTTTTCAAATTTTGTTTCTTTTGTGTGTGTAAAATTATAAATTTGTGATGTTTCATGAATATTATTTGAAAAAAAAGACATTAGGAATTTTCCTCTACTGTCTTTCAGTATCTTACATATGCACCCTATTTCTGTACATTTTCTGAGTGCCTAGTACCTTGAGAATTTTAAAATATGATTATTTAAATTAATTAGTTTATTATCTTTCCATCCTTGTTTAGGCAGTGCAATGATTGGAGGGTTTGCAGGAAGAATAGGAGCTTCTAACATGGGTCCAGTAGGATCTGGAATAAGTAGGTTTAAATTTTACTAGAATTTATTTAGTAAAATTTGAGTGCTTGCAAAGACTTTGCAAGAGTAGTTATTGTGGTATAATGATACTTTTTTTCTTTTATGATAATAAGCCTTGTCATAATTTAGAGAAACTTTGATAATTATTGAACTTTTCTGTTTGATCATTGTTTAAAATTTCTACTCTTTGAATTTTACTTTCCTGATTTTTCTAAACTAACACCCAGAGTACATGTTAGCAGCTAATTTAAAAACCTTTTCAATTAGGAATCTGTTTGTCTAATCATATGTCAAAAACAGCTTCTGCTTTTGTACCAATTTTCTTTTTGTTATTTTATACCAATTTTGTTTCCATATTTCTTATGTTTTTGTTGACTAGCATGTGAATGTCTTGTGTCTTTTGTAAATACAGGTGAATTGTCCCAAATATGACACTTTTAGATACTTTCTGATGTTAAGGGTTAACTTGTTTCCTCTTGAGCTTTTCCTGTGATAGAATCAAGAGTAGTTGGTGGGATATGAATCTTCTTCCACTTGTTTCCACAACACATTTAGGCCTTTTATTAAGGTTTAACAAATGGTTGGTTTGACCTCCATTGCCACATCTCTGAGCTCTCCATACTTCATTGATGTCCTTTAATTGATTGAAATCTCACAAACAGTAAACATAGCCTACTTGAACTGTTCTAAAAATGAGTTCAAAAATCATGTCCCTTAAAGGTACCTATTACTTTGTACTTTACTTCTCATTTTATTCCTCCTTAAGTCGTTTTTTCAGCCTTGGCTATTTTTCTATTAATCGTAGTTTTCACCTCAGCGTTTACACTTCTGTTTCCCTAATTTTATATTTATTATTCACAGAAAGCCAATTTGAGGGTGATGTTAAATTTAGAATTGCTGTCTATGGGGATGGCAGGTACCAAAAAAAAAGTTTTGAGAATGAATAAGATTGGCATAAAGGGGACTTGGCACACAAGAATGAAGGGGGTGTATGAGGTAGGAGCTAAACTTTTAAGGTCAAGCTATGGAGTATGCTGCTGTTTTGTTGTTGTTGGTGTTGTTATCTCCACAAATTCTGTGTAATACTGAAATTGAAAGCTGTTTTTTCTGAGACAATTGAAAATTTAATTGATATTTAATAAAGAAAGCATGTGTGAAACAGAAGAGATAACTGAGGTGGAAGTCAGCTAAGAAAAGGTTATGTCGGAGACTATGATGAGAGGGACAGTTGATGTGCTGTAATAGGAATTTATCTCCATGTCTTTTGTCTAGCAATTACTAAGCTAATTATTGTGAAATAAAAATGAGGATAAAAACTATTATAATATTAATGGGTAAAGTAATTGGTAGAAAACTTATATGTTGTGTTTTATGACTAGAATATAATTTTATAGAAGTATAAAAGATAATGTATTTACATTGTAGCAAGAATTAACAAGTTCAGCTAGTTAAATTCAGCTGAATGTATGCCAAAATTAACTTCTGTTCCATGGAAGACTCTTACTGTGTTATGAAATAATTTTATGGTTAGATATTGTGGAATTACATAAATGAAGTGTTCTCTTAAAAGAATGACTTTTTCTCTCCCCTTTTTCTTTTTCTTTTCCTTTCTGAAAACCAATACCTACTTTCCTAAATACATCCCCATTCTGAAAATCTAGGTGGTGGAATGGGTGGTATGAACAGTGTGACTGGAGGAATGGGGATGGGACTGGATCGCATGAGTTCCAGCTTCGATAGAATGGGACCAGGAATAGGAGCTATACTGGAAAGAAGCATCGATATGGATCGAGGATTTTTATCAGGTCCAATGGGAAGTGGAATAAGAGACAGAATAGGCTCCAAAGGCAACCAAATATTTGTCAGAAATGTAAGCAATTAGATGTAAAGGATATTTAAAATTATTTCTATTGTGTATATCTGTTATTAATACCTTTTTTCATTCTAGCTGCCTTTTGACTTGACTTGGCAGAAACTAAAAGAGAAATTCAGTCAATGTGGTAAGTATGCCAATGATGGCAGATATGTTGATGTTAATTATGGAAGAAAAATTGATTTTAAGCTTTTAAAATACTTTGTTTAGACTATTACCTGTCCAGACATTTATTCCTAGTTTGCCAGATATAGTTCTACTTCAGATAAATGAGTTATTTTACTATCTTGACTTAGAGCTGTGCAAATTACTACTAAATCACAAGATTTATTAGCAGAGCCTGTCTTTGTCTTCTATGGATAAGAACTTTTTAAATTACCTGATTTTTAAAAGTTTCATATATTATTATCTGCATTTTAAAAGGTTTTTTTTTTCTCATGGCAAATGTTAATAAGAGGTATATTTACTTCTTTGTTCATAGTGTAGTACAGTGCATTATCAGTAAACCCAGTGAGAGGCAGACATTCAAATGATATAAAGTTAAATAGGTGAGCCCCATTCAGCACACTTTCTTGCCCACAATACACAGGAACCTTAGCTGCCAGCACAGAGCCTGTTGCCTAGAACACCTTAGGCATAGATACATTCTGGTGGCCCTTCTAATTTCTTGATACCTACACTACCTTCATATAGTCACTGGGTCTGTAGACAATTAGATGGTATATTGCTTTTAAAAGAGGAACTTTTGTTCAACAAACTTATTTTTGCAATAAAATATGTTATTGATAGTTTCCATTTTGTTGTTTTGTTATTTGAAAAGATCATGGTGAATAGTAACAAATGTCCTGCTAGTATTATTACATGGTATTCAAAGACTATATCAGAGTAGTGATTTTGTTTCCTTGGCACATAATGATGAAAAATATCTAAAAATGATGTAGCCTTTGAGATTAAATGGGAGGTTAAAAGTATGTGGACTGTGTCTGTAATTTTTTATAGTGTTCTATAAAAGTAGTCTTTTGTGGTCACCAGCAAAGATACTGTTATTTGCTATGTTCTCAAAGTGTTTTATGCCTCACTTTATTGTAATAATTTGGTCACATGTTTTCTTCCCTCCCAGATGGAGTCTCTTAGGATCACTGATTGCTATCTTTTTATCATCACACCTTTCATTATCTCTGTCTATCTGAGCAGAATCTATTATACGTCTATGAGTTGAGCATTCTGAGTAGATCTTCTGTCATTCATTCAGGTTTTCATTAAACCTACAAATATATTTTAGGTAGTTGACTTACTAGATTCAGAAAGATAAACATACACTTGAAGACTGGACAGCGTGATTCTACTGGCATCTATTAATATATTTATCTTAACTTCATACAAAGAAACTTAAAATTTTTTTATTCATAAAGTTGTTGAAAAAATGTCAGTAAATAGGCCCTTCCTGGTGGCGCAGTGAGTTAAAGCACAGCACTAAGAGGCTAAAACCACTTCCGCATGAGTTTGATTCCTGCCTGCCCAGGAGGTGACCACATGGCGTGGCAGACCTCTCCTGATCTGCCCGCTGCTCCCCTCAGCAGTGTGCTTCGTCGATCTGCCTGTTCTGTTCTCCACTCTGTCTCTGGTGAATCCTCTCACCGCCCTGCACCTCTGGCCTGTACCCTGGTTCTGTATGCATAATAAATAAATAATAATAAAAAAAAATGTCAGTAAATAGCTACCACTAAAAGAAAAGAATTGTAAAGCTGGTTTTAGCTATTGGTGCTCTTTATTAATAGGAGTAAGATCTACTAGAATAAATAATCTATCGTGAATTCCATTAACTGCAGAGAAGTGAATATATTAAAGCTTTCTTGGAATACATTTAATAAGGAGCAGAGGCAGCGAGTATAGATTAGTTTTAGTAAAAAAGAAAAATCTCAAATAAGATAGAACATTATTTTAAAATTAAGCATGAAATGAGATAAAAGACAAAGGGTACAAATGAATGCTATTATTCAAAATGTGACCACAACAGAGTTTGAAAGGCAGATTTCTTTTGAGGTCAGATATGAGCAAGACTTGCAGCAAACTTGAAGTGTTTTCTGATAGCCTTTTTCCTGAGGAGCAACATTTGGACAGGAATATCAGCAAGTCAAAGAGATCTTATGAAAGAAAAAATATACAGCACTACATTTTAAAAAATACATCTTTGTGTTATAAACTTGTAAGATAAATTATTATTCTCTACTTTGTTATTTTAATTTTACTCTTTCCCTTTTGATCAAAATATAGTTAACATCATGAGATTGATTATACTTTTCTTAGTTAATATTGTACAACTAGATTTCTATTAAGATGATAATATACATAAATGATTCCCTACTACCTTCCTATTTCTAACCTTGGGCTTTATTAAAGGGAAAGAAAAAAAAATACAGTAATACAGAATTAAGAAGCTATTGACAACTTAGAAACTATCTGAGTTGTATGATCTGAGCTACCTATTTTATCTGTCATATACTTCTTATTTTTAAATCTTAAGTAGTTTTTTAATATATAGTTGTTTTATAGTATGGGAACTTTTCTTTGTCCTTTATCAAGCTAGTAGTGACTCCTGTTTCACAATAAAAGGTAGGTTTTGTTTGTTTGTCCTCTCTGCTTCAAACCTGTTGCCCGGGTGAATAAGTACATTCCCTTAGTTGCTTCTATTAAAAGTCTAGTGGTATTCCATCTCTCCCAGACAACATCTACCAGTAAATGACCTATATCAGTCCTCTGTTTAGAAAATGATTGTAGTGTCTTTCATGGGGCAGTTGCAAAAGCTGAGAAAACATAGTTTAATGAATTATATGAACCTTAGTATAACATATACTTAGCTTTTATTGTGTCAGAGAAAACAGATACAATTTTCAAATATCCTTAGTTTACCTGGAATAGTCTCATTTTATTACATCTGTTATTTGTAATTATTAGTAACTCTCCCTTTAAAGTATTCTAGTTTGGATAATAAATTTTTATGACCACTTTATATTTTGATAAATGGTATTGATTTACTTCAAATACCAGTTTCTGGAGTTAGCAGTTATCTGGTTTTCTTGCTTCTGAAAGCTCCTCTGAGGTTCTCTTTTTATGCTGTTACTGTCGCTGTTATTGCCATTATTGATTTAAATCTACAATTATCTCTTCTATGTCTGGCATTTGGTGCCACTCTTAGACTTGGGCTTCAAATTGTAACATTGAATAAATGACTTCAGTGAGTTAAAAGTAGTTGAGCCATTTGTGAACTGGTAAAAATTAAATTTTTGGATTCTTGCTACCGTTTGTAAGAATGAAGGAGTGATATGGGAGATAAAAGGGAAGGAGGAGAGACTCGACAGATTGGATGGAAAGAAACATTTAAAAAAAAGAAAATTTCTTTAAATTTGTTGCTAGGACCTGGTTGACATGGTAGCATTTTTGCTCACTTGCTTTTTTACTATAGAATTTACTTCAGAAATTAAGACTATCACACACACACACACAAAGAAACTTTATTTTTTAATAAAATATTAAATCCTAAGCAAATTTATCTTGACTCCGGCTTGGTATAATTTTAACACATATATTTATAACTTTATATAAATTGTATTATACCTAGAATGAGAAGTGATAACACAGTGCTTATTTAATGCATTATTTTTGAATCATCATTTTTAATCAAATTACTTGTCACTTCATTGACACAGGAGTAACTTAAAACCTGTGTAATGAGATAGAACCTGTTTTACTGAATTAAAAATTCTATATTCTTTTACAGGTCATGTCATGTTTGCAGAAATAAAAATGGAGAATGGAAAGTCAAAAGGCTGTGGAACGGTCAGATTCGACTCCCCAGAATCAGCTGAAAAAGCATGCAGGATAATGAATGGCATAAAAATCAGTGGCAGAGAAATTGATGTTCGCTTGGATCGTAATGCATAATTTCAAACCACGGTTGGAACATTCTTACATCTGTTTTGCTGAATCTCCTAGTAAAAGTCATTTTTTTTTTTTTTTTAGTAATACTGTATGCTTACAAAAGCTGTAAAAATGAACTTTTAAAACTCCCACCAGCTTTTAACAGTACAGTGTTAAATATACTGTGATTTTTGTTAATCTGAAGTTTGGGTTTTTAAAGACAGCAAGTCTGGTCATTCAGTTTAAATGAATGGTTATACTGTTTTTAATGAAATAAGCCATTTTCTTGTTTTCAGTGCTATATAATGGGCTTTGTTCAACTTAAAGTAAGTTTTGTTAATCAGCTTTAATGTGTAAGGTAAAGCATAGATGTTTTTTCAGAACTTCTGTTTTATATATGAATTGTTCTTGAAAAGAAAGGGCTTAGACAAATTAGGATTTTGGTTGGTTTTAAATTAGTTTTCTTTGGTGGTAAAAAATGGAGTAAGTTTTAAATTCTAAAGTTAAGGATATTTTTTATTTGACTTAAGTGAAGAAATGAAGTTTTCTTCTCTTCCCTTCTCAGTCAGCTACATTTTCACACAGCTCACTCTTAGTGTTAATCTCCACAGCCTCTTATTTTATTGTTTCCAATAATTCCAAGTTCATAAAGAACTGATAATGTAGCAAGCCCTAAATACAATAATAGGCACACTGCTCCCAATTTTTTGTCTAATTTCCATCCATTGAAGTGAACAGCTAAAAAAAGAAAAATAATTGAAATGTTGAGAGAAATGGTTATATAAGTTAGTCCTCTGCTATTCACTTCTATAGGAGCAGAGGGATGCATAAATGCAGTTTTAATGAACCACGGGACACCTAGACACAGCATATCAAACACGTTAGATCCCACAATGTTAGACATAGCCATATCTCCTTTGCCTGTAAAAAAACAAACAAAAAAAGGCAGGTTGTTAAAATGTACATACTAATACTGTATTTTATTAAGAGGTTCGTAAGTAAAAACACTGGATTTTTTTGTTTTGTTTGTTGAGTTTGGAAAACTGTTTAGAGCAAAAGGCTTAGTGAATTTGTATTTTTTTAAGTTTGGAGTGGTAGTATTTAAAGTCATAACATTTATTTAATAATTATCTTTATTTATTAAACAGTATTCCAGTAAAGTATATAGATTACTTGTTGCTTTTCATTCTAATTTAACGGTTAATTACAATTAATGCTCATTTCAGATGAATATTATTTGGGGAATTGATTGAGTGAAATTAATGTGCTATTAAATAGTAAATCCTTTTAAGTCACTTCCTTTTTTCCTACAAAGTATGTTAGTGAGGAGAAATACATATTCTAAAATTTTTTTGCTCCATGTGGTTCAGCCAGGCTTGAAGAATGGGCATTGCATCTTGAGGGACCTTGTTCTTACCTTTCCTTGCAACCAGCACACTTGCAATTGTGTCTGGTATGCTTGTTCCTGCTGCTAGTAAAGTAAGGCCCATTACTGTATCTGGAATTTTTAATGTTTCCCCTGTAATAAACATAAAACATAGATATTGCCAATTACCAACCTTAAAACTTTTCACTAACTTCTCTGCTGATATTTCATATAGTTCCTCCCTAAACAAAAATAGGCAGTTAGATTTCAGAACCAATATGTACTAACTTAGATTTTAATAGCAAAATATATGAGTAAGAGTGGTTAATAGGGTAACCCAAATAGCATAGAATTTTAATGACAGATTTTTAGATAGCTAAAATTCTGCCTAGGAGTAATCCTCTAATATAGTATCTTATAGATGTTTTAGATATCCACTGTAAATCTTGACAAGGTTGTTGCTTAATATTTGCTAATGAGATTGGTTATTTTCTCTTTAAAACCATTTATTAAAGTGGTCAGTTAAGCAACTGTATTTATGGCTATTTTTAAGCTGTAAATGTATTAATATGACATAAATATTTTAAGCCCTACTTTAGTGATATATTTTAGTGTTTTCGTTGGGAAAGTTGACCATAAATAATTGAGGAAAACAAAGTAGGAGTTTTATTTGAATCTAACATTATGGTCTCAATTTATTAATGCCTCTGTTATGTTTCATGCCAGTTCAACATTTATCAGACCATGTATGCAGTCTAGGAAACAGAACCAGAGGGAAGTTATTTTTTAAAAGTATGTGTAACTCTCTTTTCATGTAACTTGCAGTATCATTTTTCTTCTTTTTAAAAAGGCCAATTGAAAGAACTTTAGCTTATTTATTGCATGCTTATATATTGTGATTGGTTGTTAATTTTCACTGGCTTGCAGAATTCAAATGTACATAAATAACACCAATATTTATCATCTGGGGCTTTTCTATGACTTGTTACTTGATTTTGTTTTTTTTCCTAATGTCAAATAGGTTATGAATGAAAGAAAATTTGGAGTGATTCTAATATGCAAACTAATTAGGCTTTTTCATTCTCCTCATTAAAAAAGAAAATAAAAGGAAATAATGCTCTTTTATTGCTAGAATACTATTCTAAGTCATATATTTGATTTGGGAAAAGTCAGCAAACTTTTTTTTGTAACTGGGCAGTTTATAATCTGTACCATAAATTAAATATCGTAATTATTTTTAGGCTTTGCAGCTTATGTGGTCTCTGTTGCAACTCTTTAGCTTTGCTAATATGGTGTAACACATGCAGTAATAATATATATGAGTGATGGGCACAGTTGTGTTCAGTAAAGCATCACTACCAAAAAATAAGATCCCCAGTGATTTTTGGGATATACTGACGATAATTTGTTCACTCTCATACATGTCAATTCAGGTAATCTTTTTAGGAGAAATTCCTAAATTTTTTGTTATTCTTTATAATTAGTTTTTCCCTTTTGGGTTAAGAGTTCACAGCTTATTTGGCCTAGTAGTATTATCTAAGTCTTAATCATGAATGTAATAGAAACCTAAAATGAAGATTTGTTTTATACTCCATTTACTTATTTCATGGTATGCTTATATTGCCATACTAAAAAGCAAAAATAAAATTAATCCAGTTAAACAGTGAGCACCTGTCATTTTCCCAGAACACTGACACCTTGCTGTATTTTTCACTGGAATGGTCACTACAAAGTCACTACAAAGAATGTAGACCCCATGCAACATGATTTAATGACTAGCATAATGGAAAGACATCCAATAGATTTGATCTCATTTATAAGTGATCCTTTGACTTGTATCCTGGGCTATATAATAGTGAGAATATAGTTGGTATGTAATGCAATACAAAACCTGAATGAACTTGTCATATTTGATCTTTTTGTAAATAAGACTAATCTTTAGTCTCACTGGAAAAAAATTTGTTCTTTTAGATAGACTAGCTTTTGGTGGTTATATGCAGTTTTTACATTGATTTTTGTTTTTAATTGTGGTGTTGTACTTTAGATGCATACCTGTGATTGTGACCATCCAAATCAGGATATATGTAAATGCAGATATCCATAGTGCCGACATGAAAAAAGTTATCACAAAGTAATTTTTCCAAAACTTCCTTCTACAATCTGGTATAGTTAGAAAAAGTAATATAATAATAGGAAGGGATAATACCCAAAATATTCTTTTTAAGTCTGCTTCAGGCATATTAAAAACACTTGGTGGATCTGTTGAAAAAAAAAAATTAAACCATTTTGAGTTTTTTTCAGAGAGCCAATTAAGTTAGAAACACCCATTTAGAAAGTGGTATTGAAATAAATTAGCTGTATCAATTTTTAAGAGGGTATTAAAGCATTTCAATACCTCATTACTGACATTGCTGGCAAGAAGAAACTAATTGAGAGTTTAGGGCAGACAGTGTGAAAGTGATACTCAGTAGTTCTTGATTTGGGGCCTTAAATCCATCGTAATGTCTTTGGTCATTGGCTAAATACGTTAGATAATGTTTATGAAGTGTCATATGACTCTTGGTTTTCTACAATGTAGATGGACTTCGATAGTATTTTACTAATGGGACTAGCTACTCCAGTTGTCTCCATTTCCCAATGCTGGTACCTTTAAGTATCCTATGTATCAAATGATGCTTCCTTGGGGAATATTAAATAATTATTGTAAAGTCTTTTAAGTTGAATATACCATTCTAGTTATTATTAGAAGTGACTTGGGGTGTGTTTTGTTTTCTTTCATTAATATAGGAAATTCAGAGTTCAATGTACCTATTCGAACCTTAAGAAAATGCAAAAAATATAATTTGCAAATTGTAAAATTTAAGTGTTATATTAAATTAGTGGAAGACAATAATTGATAAAAATGGGAATTCACTTTAAAATTACTTAAAACTCATATGGCATTTACAAAATAATGTTACCCATACATTAAATGAAATCACATTACTCAAAATAACTCACAGTATTTGCCAAGCCTCAGCCAATAGGCCATTAAAGAATATTAAATACAATTTTAGTATAATTACAAAATTTGGTTCTTTTGAGCTTCTTGTTATAAAAAGTAATTTCTTTATACCACTTCTATCAGAAAACTAGAAGCTAATTTTTATAGGTGAAAAGTCATTTTTTTAAGGTGTAGAGGAGAATAGAAAACATAATTATAGAATGTTTTTCTTGCAACAACTTTATAAAAAGTAATCCTTAATTTTTATTTTTGGCCATAGCTGAATTTACTTTCTTACTAAACATATTTGCCTGAATGTTTTACTATTGTTTCAGATGACATGTTTACAACTTTTTTTCTTTCTTTTTCACCATCCCTTTTTCCTAAATTCCTAGCTTTTGTAAGCAGTATTCCCATTTTTTCAGAGTCAGTTGTGATCAAAGCCTCAGTGTTGTATTTGCTTCCTTTTCTGGCCTGATAGCATAGAGTATACCACAGTCCTTCAACCACTGAATCTTTGTGATGCTTCTTTTACATTGTTTCGCATCTGTTCTCTTTCATTCCCACTACCTTTATTCTGTCTAGTCACCTACTAAACATTTACTGTTATAGTAGCTTCTTACAGCCCTCTGTCTTTATCCCATACCTCAGTTCCAATAATTTTCCAGTTCACAAACCTGCAAAGACTCAATGTTAGCATTTATGACTCAATCCTTTCTATCCTGCATTCCTCTGCTTCCTTACTCTGCACATTCACTGCTCCAGTTGTGCTAGCTTTTGAACAGGTTTTTGCTTATGTTAGTTCCTTGGCATCTATCACAGAACAAACTTTACTCTTAATCTCTGCCTTACATAACAAAGACTTCAGTAGCTGTTACTGGTCATAAAGCAGTTCATCTGTTGAAGTCTTAACCTGTCCTATAGTGCTCAATTTAAATGTTTCTTTCTTTATGATTATCTTTCCTGTGGAACCACCCTCATCAAATTTTATACAGACTGTCCTATTTAGGTGTCAGTTATACTTTATTTCTTCTTTAGGCTATTTACACATTCTTAAGTTACTTTGATTTTACCCTAATTTAATGGAAACATAAGGATAGGAACTGCTGCTTCATCATCTCAAAATTTCATTTTTTTTTCATAATAAATATTAATAGTGCTTGCTAAATTAAAATGAAATCCTAAAGTTTTTCTAGTGAATAAACTTAATAGTGAACAAGATGCAATTATATTACCTTCAGAAACCTGACCAAGACCATGTAAACTTATAGAAAGCTGGGAATAGCCAGAATCTTCATAAAATATTCCACTATCAGATCTCGATTGCCGACGGATGAATGGTTGACCTTCATCTTCCCATCCTATTAGTGACTGTTCTCTTCTCTCTTCTGTAGCTTTGGCAAGACAGGTGCAGCAAGCACTGAATTTCTTTATAATATATTGGTTAATTTTAATGTCAAAACATAATACTAAGACATATAATCCATATATGAAAAGCAGTAAAGTTCCTTCATACCTATAAATTAGAGAAATGTGTGTTTTTAAATTAAAAGCAAGTCAATAGCATTTGAACTGTATCTGTTTAATAATCTAATAAACACAGCAAAAACATTTCTAGATATATTATGGTTTTATATTTCCCAATTGGTTATAGTATACAGACTCATAAAACTTGGCATTATCCTTTCTATATTTCAAGAAAAAAAAAAGGATTTTAACCTCATTGTTTTCTTTTGTAGGTTCTTTCCAAATGATAGGCATAAAAATGCTTTGAAAATAATTGTAGATTTTCAAAATAAAAATGAAGCTAATGAAATGATGGGTATCCTCTGCTTCAGTTCATTGTCAGACTGTATTCCCCCAAATATGTAATAATTATTAGGATATAGTGTATGTTAGTTCATCTCAGTGGTGTCTGTTCAAGTTAGGCTTTGTGCTCTTCTATCAGCCATACAGAGATATGGTGATTTTTTTAAAAAAAGTATTTATGCATACAGGAACTGGGGTACAGGTCAGAGGTTGCCGGGGGGTGAGAGGATTCACCAGAGACAGAATGGGGAGCAGAACAGGCAGATTGAGTGAAGTACACTGCTGAGGGGAGCAGTGGGTGGGTCAGGAGAGGTCTGCTGTGCCACGAAGGTCAGCTCCCTGGAAATTGAATTCACATTGCAATGGCTGTGGACAGCTTCATAATGCTGCACTTTAACCTGTTTTGACACCAGGGAGGGCCCAAGACTTGATTTTAATGTAGTTGAATTTGGCTTTTATACACAAGAAGAGAATTACATTTTCAGGAATAAAGTTATACATTAGGCATTGAGAACTTTTCTTAGCTTTGATTTCCTATTTAAAGAACTGGTGATTAGCTAATATTATCTTTGAACCTTGCATTTACCATTTTATAGCCAGTAAATCTCTGTGACAGCTGAAAATACAGAATTAATATTGTCAGTCACTGACCACTTACAGACAACTATGGAGTCTTGGAAGGATCCCAGTTACTGTACCCATCAATCTTTGAGATAAAACTTGATTTCAGGATGATTGATTAGAAATTCTGCTCCCTGCTAAATTTTAGTTTTCTTCAGAGGAGGTGTTGTATACAGCCTTGCTAAATTTTAGCACTCTGGAGCGGTGCCATTTTCGTTTTCTGGTGTCCTCAGGTGTTGTGCAGTGCGCAAACTTTGTGGCTGAGCACTATGCCTAGTAGAATTATAAGTCCCTAATATAACTGGTGCTTATTAGATAAAAAAAAAAGGTATCAGATAACTGCTAAATCATCACGTTTCATTTTTTTGGATTAGCAAGGCACAAGGAGACTACAAAGAAAGTAAAGTCTTAATATTGTTTAGGTTTTAATATTAAAACCTAAACGTTGCTCATTCTTAAAGGCTAGAAATAAGGGAAATTAGGAGGAATATAAAGGAACCTCTTCCTGAAATCTTCGTTATCATCTCTCTCCAATCTTGTACCCGTGACCCCTTCTAAGGCAAGGTAAACAGTAATTCAATAGATGAAAAAGTTAACTGTTGGGGCGTTAATGGACAACAGAAGTTGGAACTTTGTAAAGAGGGAGCTGGAGGAGAGAAGGAAGAGTGGTAATAGCCATAATTAGACAACAAAGACTGCAGTGACTAAAAAGAAAACTCCAAATTAGGGAGAATACAACCGGTAATTAGGATGAGGAAGTTATTTCAGAGACCCATGGAAATGGTGCAAATGTGGCAGATAAATTAGAAGTGATTGAAAGAACATTTATGGGGAAAATACATCTAAATCATCAGAATTTTATACAAGTTTGGTCCGTAATTGTGTTTTACTTAAGAGTAAGGATTATTTCAAGCTTACCAGTAAACTTGGTTGTCGAATATTATACCAAGAACTGCCGCTACACTAATTGCATAAGCCACACAGTCTCTGAATAGGGGCCAACAAGATAGCGTTGAAACCTGTAAAATGATAATTTACTGTTTCCATTACACTGTAACTTCAGGTACCTGCCTAGTGTAATACTAAGGTTGTTTGTATATTTATAGCTAAATATTGTTATCTTTTGCATATTGCTTAGAGAAAAAGGAATCTTAAGTGTGTTTCTAAATCTGATTTTCATATATTTGACCAAGAGCTATTTGTGGGTTAACTTTAGAGTGCATGTTGTTTTTCTACTGACTAATAAATTTGTTTGAACACATTACTTGTGCCTTGTTTGTTCTAAGACTATAAGCAATTATTTCAATTTGACAAATTGTGTTGAATGAAGTAGGGCTAACATACCATGTTAGATAGCAAACCACAGGCTGCACAGATGCCAAGGAGATTATAAATTGCAGATCCAAGAATGGTGCTAATGCCAATATCTCCTTTTGTGATAAATACACCTATGAGCAAGATAGTAGCTAAGTTAGTATTGACTCAAAGGAAGATAAAAATCACATCAAATAAGCAAAAAATAGAAGCAGCAATACTTACCTAGGAAAGCAGTAACTAATTCAGGAGCTGAACTACCGGCTGCCATAAAAGTTGCACCAGCAACATCCTGAGACAAACCCAGGGCTGAAGAGAAATGAAATTACATTATGCTTGGTAATGTGACAAATGAGTATGTTTCTGTAATCCGACTAAGTACAATATTTGAAACTACAGCTTCACAGGAAAGCACTAATACTGAAACTAAAAAGAGCACTGTTGAAAAAACAGGAATTCCAGAGTGTTTTTTTAATGAATTCATAGAAAGGGAGAGGCGGCCAGGAAGAGCATGGGGTCCTGCTGCTTATTGTCATGAGTGCCAGGATAGGGAATTACTGGGAATCTGGGAAAGATTCTTTCAAGGTGTAGAACTTGCAACTAGGTAGCAAGCAGTAGCTTGACTACCAACAGTGCTCCAAAACTTTGGCATCTTCATCTAATGTAGAAGACTTAGTATTTTTTAAGATCTATAAAGTGGAGGGGGCACTAACAAGCAATAGCTGTGTCTAAATGCAAAGGGAAAAGGAAATTAAAAGCCAAGTAAAATTTATACTATAGCAATACAATATTAGTTTAAAACATGGATTCATTAAAACTTTTTTTCAGAGTAAGAAATAGCAGGACTACCACTATTCAAATGGTTTGTGAATATCCTCCAGACATACACAAATACATTAAGTACAGTGACTGACAGTGACTTGGCTAAAGGACTTGTTACGGGAAAAAAGAGAAAACCATACTGAAGACCATACATTCTACACCAGACCTTGCTGAGAAGGGTGCTTAAGAAACCCATTTAGGCCCTCCTGATGGTGCAGCAGGTTGGAGCAGTGCTGCACTGTGAAGTTAAGCTAAGCTAAGCTGTGGCTGCTTCAGTGCGAGTTGGATCCCAGGCCTGGAGGTGACCCACATGGCGCAGCAGACTTCTGTCTCACCTGCAGTGTAATTTGTCGATCTGCCTGTTGGTGCTCCCCACTCTGTTTTTGGTGAATCCTCTTGCCACCCCTACACTTGGGGCCTGTACACCATTTATGTATGCATATATAAAATCTAAAAAAAAGAACAACCCTTCAAAGGCTCTCCTGGTAGACTAAAACAGCTGATGGAAAGTAGCATGCTGGTCTTTAAAAATACCTAACATAGGTCACAACGTTGACATAAGAAAAGATCTTATGTCAACCTAAAATTTAGGTTTCCAAAGATCTTGATCATAGTCCTTTGTTGATTATTTACCTATGCATATTCTTGACATTTGAGTATTCCTGGACCCTCTGATTCTGTTGTGTTTGGTTGAGGTTGCCACCTATGATCAGCATTTCCTTACTGTGTGCCTGGGGAGACTATAACACTCAGGTCCACCTCTTGTTCTACTCAGCTAGGACATCTGCCTTTGTCCTAGTTGTTTTTTTTCCCTTGATATGGCAGATTGTATTTTTCATAAATGGCCATAAATTTCTGCCCAAATGACCTCCAGATCCTTTCCATTTCCTATTGTAAAAATTGAAGATGGAGTATGTCTCCTAAGCCTGGATGAGCCTTTGTTACTGCTTTGACTAATAAGATGGTAGACCCATACTTTTCCAAGTCAGAAAATGTGCAACAACTCCCTCTGGTTCTCTCTCAAGGAACTTTTGCTTTAGAGTCTTAAACTACATAAAAGTTGGACTACGTTGGAAGTCACATGCTAGAGAGACCACGTAAAGAACATACAGAAATAGAGATGCCTGATGAGCCATACCATATTAGTCTTCAAATGTTGACTCTTCTAACTCAGGCACCAGACATGGGGGAAGAGACAAACTTTCAGACAACCTTAGCCCCATCTTTTGATTATAACCATATGAAAGGCTTGGAACAAGAACTGCCTAGATGACCCCCCGTAGATGACCCAAACCTGTGAAAAATAATAAAGTGGTCTTTAAGCCACTAGCAATAATATACAATAATAGATAATTAGAATACCTACTATTTCATGTGCTTTTTTTATATGCTAGGAATATGGCGGTATCAAGACACAAATGTTTCGTGTCTCATGTAGCTTCACTCTAGTGATAGGAAATAGATTGGATAAAATATGTAATACAAGTAGCAAAGAGCAGGCATCCTTGGTATACTGGGGGTTAAATCTCAGCACTCTCACTGTTGCCTGAGTGGCCTAAGTTTGATCCCAACCAGGGAGGTGTGATCCAGATGTCAGCAGACCTCTCCTGACCTGCCCGCCGCTCCCTCAGCAGTGTATGTCAGTCGATCTGCCTGTTCTGCTCCCACTCTGTCTCTGATGAATTCTCTCACGCCCAGTACCTCTGGCCTAAACCCCAGTTCTTTTAGGTTAGAAAAAGTAGCAAATAGCAAGAGGGTGATTGAAAATGTCATGGAGGAAGGATTGTAATTTCAGACTGTAGAGCCCCAGAGGACTTCTGTACTGGAAAGTTAACAAAAACTTCAAAGTGAGCCGCACATGTACCTGGGCTGAGTGTATTCTAGGCAGAGGGAGGGAGTGAATGAAAAATTTCTTGAGGTGGAAGCTAGGCTGTATTCAAGAAACAAAAAGGCCAGCAAGTCTGAAATAAAGTTTGTGAAGCAAGAACAAATGCGCATTCTGTAAGTCAAAAGTAATGGCCAGATTATTATGTATGGCCTGTGGGCTCTATAAGGACTTTGGCTTTTATTCTGAAAGACATAGAAGGTGCTTGAAAAGTCATCCATGTAGTATCTGCTCAAGATACTGTCCCAGTCACTTTTTTTTTTTTTTATGCCAATGAGGTTATTTGGTCTCGGCAGTTCAAGAAGCTCTAACCTGAGCCATTTGCCACCTGTTTAGCCTCTGTTATGAAAAGCTCTCTCAGGATAGGGGAATGATCTAGTCCAGGCCACCATACTATTCTTCACTCTTTGTGTTTGCTCATGTTGCTTGGTGAACATCTACCCACTAGCAATGATGTGTGTAACTTCGAGTTCACAGCATTCCTTTTACTAGTTAGACTGAGACAGATATTACAACTCTGTGACATACAGTAAAAACCACTGGCCATAAAATTTAAAACAGAAAAAGATAAACTATATTACTCTGTGATTAGCTTTTTTTTTTTCATTTTACAAATGAAGTGTAAAAATTTTAAATTCATGATATACAATTCACTTTAATACACATAATTTAATCTCAACGATTCTCAGATATGGGTGATGGTACAATTAAGGAAACAGGTCTCAGAGATTATGCAACTCAGTTACTTGGACAGTAAGATGTGAAGAGCCTCAAGGATGAACCATGAGCCTGTTTCACCTCAGAAACCCTGTGTAAGAATGGCACTTAGGCACACCAGTTATAAAATGGGGGATGGCCGAGTCCCAGCTTTGTGGTTCTGACATAGAACTATTCCCATTCCATTTCTTTTTAAGGGGAAAAATAGTTTTGGAAGTCAGGAATATTTTGAATAAGTTTCCCAACTTATTCCAGAGAACATAAAAAGTTAGTGATGTTGAATATAATCATGAATTTTCTTCTTAATTCAATCAGGGCTAGATGATAAGTAAAGAAAGCCGAAAAGAACAAATGCGTTATCTTGAAGTAATTCTTCAAACTTGCTGCATCTCAAGAGTGAGCGCCCAATCGTCATTGAATGCTACCTGAAAAATGCTTCATTAGAAAGATTCAATCTCAAGAGAGAAAAGGTAAGATATTGAGCTGTTTCTAAGTTGGAAAATGTCCCTTTGGAACACTTTCACTATCAAAAGGCAGTAACAATAAAGCTTGTTGGTATTCACTGCCATTAATTGAGCTATGAAAGGAAAGATTCTGTATGGGAGGCTGTGAAAAACTTCAGATATATTTGAACAAGTTGTATATTAAAGTTCTAAGCATATTTTGTAAAATGGTTTATACCTTTGAACTTTAGGATAGATTGCCTTTGTCTTCTCTGACCTCTCGGTAGCATTTCTCTCTGCTATAGTTTATTATTAAAGATAAATTATCCTGTTTTTTTTTTTTTTCCTATGTAGCTATTACTTCCCCCTTATGACTCTACAGGAATAATTATCTTTTCAGTAGAGTGTTATAGAAATGTTCAAAGTGAGCTTTCTTTTTAGGTTGGATATCTTTGCGTTGTTTATAAAGTTCAACCTTATTAATCATGAACTGCATATTCAAACTCATTAGAATTTTCCTTAAGTATGCTTACTTCTTATTGAAGAAAAAACTATTTGGAAAATTTATAACAGTTTTTGAAAGTCACTTTTCAAAAATATATTAGGAAATATAATAGGGCAAGTTTTAAGCTAACATGAAAACCTGGGTTCTAGTTTTATAAAACAATATGAAACTCAAGATGAAGTTTGTGGCTTGTCATCAATAAAATGGAGGGTTTGACTACAACATTTTAAGGCTCTCTTCTAATTTTATCAATCTTTACTAAAAATATTAAACATAAGTTCTGTACTTTAAGAATATATACCACCTTTCATTATAATAAATAGGCCTTACATTGTTGGAAATATAGAAGATGGAGGGGAAAGTGAAAGGGGAAGAGCCACTTAGACTTTAATTTTTGTACTTTAATCGCTGCTATCACTTCAGTGTATTTCTAGCCCTTTTCACAGTGTACATTTTATCAGAGTTACATCCATAGCTATATGCAATTTGGAATTCTCTGGAGCCATTTTAAAAAGTCTTTAACGATAGCAAATTTTCATGCTTTGTGAAGGAATTTAAATTTTGGAAACCATTGAAAGTTACTCAGACCCAACTTTGGTGATGAGGATGGGTAGGCCTGCTGTGTAATTTCGTTGAGGATCCAAAATGAAATAGAGAACCATCATTTTTTATAATTTGCAAAACTTGGTACATTAATTTCAAGAACATTTACGGAATTATCTTGAAAATAATCAGCTTCATTAGAAAAAATGCCTGTTCTCTCAGTAATACACAACTGCATTCTATGTGCTGTGAAGCTTTTAACAACAAATAAAAACACTTGCGTATTTTATAGTAACCGCCTCATAATATTTGGAGCTATGACAGGATGAATCATGAAACCCTGTGTAAAGTTTTTAAAGGCCTGAAAAAGATGGATTTCCCATCATGCACAATCTAACAGCTTTAACATTAACAGTGCATTTCCACCATCATAGAAAGCACATGCAAGACATTTTATATCCAAATTCACCATGCCCAGAGTTTGGGCTACATAAGTTGCCCAAAGTCATGCAGATGCTGGGAGGGGGCCCTAGGTCATTTTGAATTACAAAAGGTGTTTTCTCTGCTATCCATGTAGATAAAGTGAGGGGATTAATCCATGTCTCTATTATTATTACTGTTGTTATTTATTATCATGGCTTGCTCTGGAAACAGCATCTTGCTAACATCTAACCCAGGTCCTCTAGTCTCTCTCTATAACTCGGCTTTTACTTAAATCTACATGGTTGAGGTAGATTTAGAAACAATCCAAGGGGACCACAGTTTAGATCAGAGAGAAAAAAAAACACAAAGAGATAAAAATGATTTTCAGAGGAGGATGAGTACCAGTGTGACAGGGAAGAAGCACTATTCTTTGATTTGTTCTTTGGGAAGGCTTTGCCTCTGTAAATTTCATGAGGATTAAGAATCAAACAATCCCCTGAAACTGTAGGCTATCCAAATGCCACACTCACAGGATGACTCGACTTCCTCTCCATTTTATCAATTTAGAACCAATTCTACCTGGAATTGAAACTTACATTTCCTTTTTATTGTTTATTTCTGAACATACAGTAGAACATGGACAAATATTAGTACAAAGCAGAGTGAGTAAAACTATTTTTTTTTTCAAAAAGCAATATGTAAGTATGTGTCCCCAAAGCCTTATTAAAATATTTTTTTTTTTTTTTTTTTGCTTAAGACATATCTCAAAGACTTGACATGATGGAGGGACTAGAATTTCTAGCTGAAAATTATACTAGTTAACATTTAAAAAAATATTTCGTAGCTAACTCTTTGGGACCAACCTTAAGAGCTTCTCAGTTTTTTCTGTAGATAACTTGGAAAAGGTAAAGAAAATTGCTCTGAACAGTGATTAACTCTAGGGCATTCTCATGATATAGCAGAAAGGTATATAAGGAAAATAGTTTTGGCTTTATGTTGAATTTTTATGTTTCTAAAAATGAACAACTTACAGATGAGAGCTAACAGTCCTATTTTGTCTATATGTTAATACAGTTTATAGTACATAACATATTTATATTTAAATCAGACACATTATTAAACAATAAAAGGTTGCAAAAGATGGGGTAAATAGTATAGACTTTAAAAGAACTAAAAGGAGCACTAAACAAAATATTCCAGAGTTATTTTAGGTATAATTTAGCATTGCCTCATGGACTATTAGATGAAATCCTAAAGGGAGTTTCACAAATTTACTTCCCACTTTTAAATCGTCTTTGTATTTACTTGCCTTAAACTTGGTTTGCAAACTCCATCAAGCAAACCTTAGATTTAGTATTTGCTCCTACTTGTCTCCTACATGGAGATGAACCTCTTCTAGACTTAGCCTTGCTTAATGCCATTCTGCTGACCAAATAAAACTCTGCTGTTGAGTTGAGGAGGCGTGAAAGTGTAGAGGGCCAGGATGGGCCTGTGGCCTACTGGTTCTGCTGTGGTATTATAGGATGGCCTCAGAACATGTATCTCCTAGAAAGTCACTCCATCACACACATTGATCTGGTTACACAGTACAACTATGAGCTCAGGTACATCTAATACAAGTGCTTAGACCTCAGAGTCTAATATACATGGGGAAGTGTTTATGACTACAGATTACCAAAAGTCTAAACTGATATTTGTAGCAATGGAGTCTGTTTTGTAAAATACTTCCTCTATAATAACAAAGGGTATTTGATGTATATTTTTGGTCAAGATTTTCAGTGCCCTTGGAAGGAAAACACCTAATAAGAGTGTGTAAATAGAACAGTCCCTCTGAAACAATCTCAAGTTAAGGTATGTTATATTATATGGCAGTTGAGAACATTCTCTGGTTGGGGCTTTACAGAGATAAGGTTCTGCTATGAACTGACTTGCAAACTTGGGGAATTACACATCCTTTCTGGCTTGGTACTCTATTCAATAAAACCAATTTAATAGTTCCCATTTTGCAGGGTTTTTAAAAAACTAAATAAAGCACACACATATATATAGTATGTATATATACACATACATATATACATATGTTTATAAATTATGCTTGGTCTTCTATAATTGTTTTATGATCAATAACTAACCAATGAATAAGTGATAATGCCCTTGCATTGTGGAATCCTTCAGTAAACTGTTTTGAGGATTATATTAATTCTTACTGACAAATGGACGGAATGTTTATAACTCAAGGCACATCAAAGAATGATGGGGAAATGTAAAGTAAATGCTTGCTTTTCTGAAATGGGTTTCTATGGATGTAAACAGATCCCAGGGAAATTGATTTTATTGCTGATATACTAATTTAGATGAGACCATGCTACACCTTGGGAAGAGAAACAACAGAATTAATTTATAGACATTTAAAAATGAATCAAACTAGCACTATATCTATCACATTTTGTTGCCAGTATTTTCTATACTTGAGACCAGGGTCAATTCTTAGTGCTGAAGCTTTGGCAGTGGCGTGGACATCCATCAGCCACACATCCATCATAGCTACTGTAGAGAAAGTAGAGAGCAATTCACTCAGGAAATATGTGTCTCAAAATAATTCCACAAGTGGCATGGTGGAGTCATTATTTAGATACTCTGTGTCTTCACATAATAAATATTATCTTGAAGTGGTGGTTTCAGTTTAATGAAGCTGTTCTGCAAGCTAGAAATGTTATTTATTGATTTACCATTCCCAAGATAATTTTTTATAAAAGCATTATTGATGGATTTTATTGTTTTAGCCAAGTCATTGTTTAGAAATGTGAAAGCAAAAATGAAGTGATTTTTTATTTCCTGGAAAGATTATTTTTAGGGGATATAATATCTTGGATATCAAATTGCTTAATTTTTATAATCGACATGATCGGTTTTGTTTTTCTGATTAAATTGTAGTACTGACACAGGATGAACACATAGATTATTAGAGGACAAGTGAACAGTATAGAAACAGATCCAGATATATGTGAGAATTTATCATGTGGTGAACTTAGTGTAGGCTGTATACACATGTTAATATTTAATGATGCACATCTGAGACTTATGCAATATTACAGTGCAATTTGTAAGAAAAAAGAACTTAGAATATGAAAATTGATGAACTTCTGGAAAATATGGCATTGCATTCTCTGTCAAAAAAGGAATAAATTTTAAAAGAAATTGTAGGAAGAAAATATTACAATTTTCTGATGTAGAGATGAAGGGTTTTTTAACTATAGAGTGAAAATAAAATGATAAAAGCAAATATTCATAAGTTTTCTTAAAAATATGCAAATTTCAATGTGATAAACACAGAATAAAAAGGTAATAACTAATCATGAAGGAGGGTGGACCTAGATGGCATTTACTTATCATCTACCCTTTAAAAAAAATTTTATGTTATTAGCGTAAAAACAAGCAAAGTTTTAAAAAATATAAAATGGTAGGTAATTGGGTTCCACAGCAAGCACATGAATGGAAACATTTGGAGCAATTAATTAACAGAAAGGCAGTTGAGGAGACAAACAGGAAGTTTCTGGAGCTAGGCAGGTAATAGTAATAATTGCTGGGTACTCATTTAATTATTCTCTGCTGCCCCTCCCGTTCCCCAACACACAGAAGGGATCTCTGCCACCAGTTGAGGTGGACAGAATTGTTGCTGAGCTTTTTCACAGTCATTTATATGGTTATTCTGGAAGGTGATAGGGACGATTTCTAGACACTTACATTCACTGATGATTTCCAGGGAGGGTAAGAAGTATTCGTCACAAACGATGGATACAGCCATGAACATATAAAGGATAATTAGGAAGTAGATGATGATGCCCCCATCTGCACGCTCCTGTTTCGTGAAAAACCCTTCAGGAAATTCCGATGATGGAGAAATAACACACTGGGTGCTGTTTCCTGGTAAGGAAAAGGAGGTGAAAGTTTGAAGATTCTGCAAGTCCCACATACTAAACCCACAAAGAGAGCATCCTTAAGAAGTTTCCAAGATATGCGTGCAATTTTAAGAGCCCCATGAAAGCATATAAAACCCCTTTGAAAGTGATACAGTTGTGGATCCTTTAAGAAAGTGATTAGTGAAATAAGCAAATGATGGTAGAATAATGAAAAAGAGGAAAATGGGCAATCACTATTCCTTGCTTAATTTTTACAAGGGAATTCTATACCTTCTTTTGTTAGTACAATTTTTATTTTCCTATGTCAGAGACCTAGTTGTTCACAAGTCTGCAAAGAATCATCCCTTTTTTTTTTTTTTCAGAATTTCTAGAGTGAAAGAAAATAGATTTTCATGATGAAGTCTCCAACTGTAAAATCTGGAGACTTTACTACTTCATGGTATCTTTGAATTATTTTGGCGTGCTCTTTGAGGATGGCTTTGGGGGATCAAAAATGTTTGATCTCCTTCTAATCCTGACAATCAGAGTAAATAATAACAGGCACTATAAGCACAAATGATTCAAGTGAGATATTCCCTCTTTTTTCTTTCAGGCAGTATGTGGCAGCCCCATTCGAGGTAGTGACCCGAGTTTCCACCTACCTGTGTCCCTTGGGAGACGCTGGAGCAGGGAGGCGCCTGGGCGGGGCAGGTGTGCTGAGGCCCAGAGGACACTGAGAAGCAGGAACCTTCTTGTCCACTCTGGGGCTCTTTGTGTCTGCATTGCTGCTGTGCTCTTACTGCAGCCAGCTGCTTTGGAGAAGGAGAGGAGAAGGATTAAGCTGGATCATGTGAGGAGTCTCCCTCTTGCCCAGTGCCCCCCAGGGCACAGCTCAGTAAGGCAAGCACAGGGAGGAGTGTGGCTTCAGCCAGTCAGGCTTCCCTCACACCCCAGGAAGCTGCAGGAGCAGAGAGGAGAGTGGAAAACAGACAGTCCTTGCATACAGTCTTTAATTGTTGAAAGTTTCTGCTTTTTTATTTTCTCTAAGAGATTTGTAAGGCCTGGAGTGTGCAGCTGCTTTCTAGAAGTTGTTGAGGTTGATCTATGTGTTTTTTTTTTTTTTTAAAGATCTCTTTATTTTTGCATACAGAACTGAGGTACAGGCCAGAGGTGCAGGGGTGGCAAGAGGACTCACTAGAGTCAGAGTGGGAAACAGAACAGGCAGATCAATGAAGTACACTGCTGAGGGGAGCAGCAGACGAGACAGGAGAGGTCTGCTGCACCATGTGGGTCATCTCCAGGTCAGGGATCGAACTCACACTGAGGCAGCTGCGGCCAGCTTGCAGTGCTGCATCCTAAGCCTTTGCGCCACCAGAGGGCCCGACCTATGTGTTTTCTTCCCTAGGTTGGCAACCTTTTCTATTTCTGCTAAGCTTTTATTTTCATTCCAAATCAGGCTAGAGGTAGGAAGGTCACTTAAGAGGCAGTACAGTTATCTAAAGGAGGACTGATGGTGGCTTGAATAAAGTCAGAACAGCAACACTGGAAAGACATCAACAGAAGTGCTGGACAACCTAGGAAGAGAGTTGTGAAGGAGATAGAGTGGACGTCATTTGATCGTTGATTAACTATGCTTGCTGCTGCAGGTTGGAATCTAAAATGCAAAATTGACTGGCCGGTAAGTATGGGAATAGGGAATCCAATCTGCCCTACTCAAGCTTCTATGAGGCTTGCCAAAATGTTAAGGTCTTGTGGTAATGTAGTAACGTGACTGACAGCATAAGCTCTAGAGATTCCGCCTTCTTTTCCTGCTTATTACTACTATGTTACTCTTGATTGAGACAGCTTCTTGGAATTTTGTAATTTTGCAACTGTCTTCCCAGGCTTTTCAGAAAAAGCATTAAATTTGAAGTTTGGTGGATGGTGAATGAAACTTGTGCACAAATAGAGGAATAAAAATATAATCCCAAAGTTACATATACATGCAAATGACTGACAAATTAATGTTCTCTAAAGGCTTATTTTTATTTGTGCACGCATGCAAGGATTAAGTGTAGACCAGAGGAGCAGGGACTGAGAATATTCACCAGAGACAGAGTGGGGACCAGAACAGACAGATTGACTGAAGTAGATTGCTGAAGCAATAGGTCAGGAGAGTTATGTTGTACCACATGGGTCACCTCCCTGGCTGGGGATCGAACTTGTGTTGCAGTGGCTGCTGATAACACTGCTAAGAAATTTAACGCCTGTGCCACCAAGAAGGCCCATGTTAATTTTAACATAGCATTTGAAGATAAACAAACAAAAATGATGTGCTTGCTAAGCTTTAGATTTAGAAACTGGGTTTTCTTTGGTGGGAAACAGAAAGTTGCTTTTGGATGTATGTGATTTGGGGTTGGTAAAAATTCTCAGACATCCCTTTGTTTTGCTGGGAATTGGTGTTCTTTATAAACCTTTCTGAAACTGTCATTTCGAGGAACTGGTGGTCCAGATGTGTGGTGTGCTTGTGGGGTTGGGAAGATGAGTCACCAAAGTAGAGTTCAGTAACAGAGCAGATTCTCAGCAGAGGCAGCCCCTGGCCATGGGGCTGTGGTCTAGTACAGCAATGCCTAGGGCCAGGGAAAGAGGCTTTTGTGCTACGTGGAGTATCCCAGGAGCATCTCCCTAAGAGGATAGGGAGATGCTCAATCCATACAACAAAACACCATCCCTGTTAATAGCTCAGACTCTCAAGTCCACAGTGAGTACATTCAATACTCCAATGTTAACTAATCCGGGAAACGGTGCAAGGATCTGAAGACACAGCCATCCACAATGGAGCCAAGCGTCGTGCACATAGTAGGTACTCAATAAGCACATGTAGATCGATTGCATTGTGCTGGTTCTTTTTCTTTCTTTCTTTTCTTTTCTTTTTAAAGATTTATTTATTTATACACACAGAACTGGGGTATAGGTCAGAGGTGGGGGGTGAGAAAGGATTCACCAGAAACAGAGTGGGGAGCAGAACAGGCAGAGTGAAATACACTGCTGAGGGGAGCAGCAGGCGGGTCAGGAGAGGTCTGCCACACCATGTGGGTCATGTCCTTGGTCAGTGATCGAACTCCTGCTGCAGTGGCTGCAATAGCTTCATAGTGCTGCACTTTAACCCGTTGTGCCACCAGGGAGGGCCTGCATTGTTATGGTTCTTAAGAATACATACCCGGTACATATGCATATATTTGATTTGAATAGACTACCTAAGAAAATATGGATTTACCATAAAAAGATAGTGTAGGAGTTTAGATTTGCTGTACCCATTTTTTTTCCATTTTGAAAAAGCTTCTTAAAAGAATAAAAAAAAAAGATCTATTTTATCTATTTTATTTATTTATGCATACAAGAGCTGGGGTGACGGTCAGAGGTGTATATGGGTGTGAGTAGAAGGGGGTGGGTGAGAGGGTTCACCAGAGACAGATTGGGGAGCAAAAGAGGTGGATCTACTGAAATACATTGCTGAGGGGAGCAACAGGCCAGTCAGGAGAGTTCTGCTTTGTTACATCGGTCACTTCCCTGGCTGGGGATGGAACTTGTGCCATACTGTCTGGCAACAGCTTGATAGCAATGAGACCTTAACCTTTGCTCCGCCAGGGAGGCCCTTAAAAGAACTTTTATTATAAAATGGAATACCCTTCAAGAAAACCACACAAAATAGATGTATAGTTATTATTATTATTATTATAGTTTTTTTTAATAGAGCTCAGAGCTCAACTTTTTTTTTTATATTTATGCATACAGAACTGGGGTACAGGTCAGAGGTGCAGGGGCGGTGAGAGGCTTCATCAGAGACAGAGTGGGGAGCAGAACAAGCCAACTGAGGAAGTATACTGCTGAGGGGAGCAGTAGATGGTCAGGAGGGTTCAGCTGCGATATGTGGATCACCTCCGGGCTGGGGATCAAAATCATGCTAAAGTGGCTGTAGCCTCGTAGTGCTGTGCTTTAACCCGCTGCACCACCAGGGAGGGCCCATTTCTTTTCTTTTTCAAGATTGATTTATTTATACATACAGAATTGGGGTACAGGCTAGAAAGTGCAGGGGTGGCGGCAGGATTCACCAGACACAGAGTGGGGAGAACAGGCAGATCAATGAAGTACACTTCGAGGAGGGCAGCGGGTGAGACAGGAGAGGTCTGCTGTACCATGTGGGTCACCTCCAGGGTGGGGGATCAAACTTGTAGTGAAACAAATGCAGCCAGCTTGCAGTGTTGTGCTTTAACCCGCAGCACCACCAGGGAGGGCCTATATATTTTATTTTTATCAGATGAATTCCCTTTTAAACAACCCAGGTCAAGAAATAAAACTTCCAGGAACCCTAGAAACAACTTCATGTGCCTTATTCTCAATTCCCCCTGTTCTCTGAAAGTAACCACACCCTGACTTATGTAAGAAGCATTGTATGGGTCTATTTTTAACAGTTTACCAGTAACCTAATGGGTATATCCTTTGGCTGTTCTGATAGCACAGTCTTAAAAAAGTCCTTTAAATTTATTTTAGTTTACAGTTCTTTAGTTGTTTGCTTAGGACATCCTTCCCCTTAGCACTTTCTCCTTCCATTTATTATTATTTTTTTAAAGGTTTATTTATTTATTCATTTATTTATGCATACAGAACTAGGGTACAAGCCAGAGGTGCAGGGGTGGTGAGAGGCTTCACCAGAGACAGAGTGGGGAGCGGAACAGGCAGACCAACGAAGTACACTGCTGAGGGGAGCAGTGGGCAAGAGAAGAGAGGTCTGCTGGGCCTTGTGGATCATCACCTCTAGGACCAGGGATGCACTGGCACTGAAGTAGCTGCAGCCAGTTTGCATTGCTGTGTCCTAACCCGTTCCGCCACCCGGGAGGGCCCCCTTCCATTTATTTTTTAAAAAGACGTTACCTTTTAGAAAACCCTAGGTCATTTTATCTGTAGATTTTCCAGAGCCCTGATTTTATTGATTGTGTTCTCATGTGAATTGGAGGTTTATACAGAGGCCCCTCACACTCAGTCCTGTCCTTTCCACAACACTACAAGCGATGGTGTGATTTTTGTTCAGAAAGTACACACAGTTTTTGCTTGTCTCTCTGTTTAAGAACCACAAGGATAGCCATTTCTGCTTCCTACCTAAATCCATTCATTTTTAGAGGTTGAAAAAAGGTACGTTCTAATTCTACAGTTTCTCTTTTAATTATCACTTCATATGACTTATTACAAAGAGATGATTTCTCATACTCTGGTTTTTCTTCAGATCACATAAATCTTTCACCTTTTACAAAGAGATGATTTCTTACATCTACTCCAGAGATAGCAAGTTGATAGAGAATAATAAAAGACTTAAGTTTCTGTTTTACTTACCAGTCTTTGAGATGATTCTCTATTTTCTGCCAATTAGATTTAAAAGTTATAGCAAATGAAAGTATTTTAATATATTTGATGGCTTTCAACTGTAATAATTAACATTTTTGAAGTTCAAATAGTCTCATCTTTTTTGCTGGTGGGAGCTTATTTAAGTTGATTTCTGAGGTCTTTGACGTGATCTTAATAGTCTTCAGTGGTTTCCTCACTACCTGATATAAAAAGATGTTTTAGCTTCTCTTATACATGAAAGCAGTCATTTCTCCAAAGGGGTCTTTCCTTTTTAATCAAAAAATGTATAAAGACCAGGACGTAAGAATTGGGATTGTTAAGGCTGCTTATTGTTCTAGGTTGCTCAATTTCTCTCTCTCTCTCTCTCTCTCTTACACACACACACACACACACCCTCAAAATGCCTTATGAGTTTATTCTGATACTTTATCTTCCAAGTTTGTTTCTCAGAACCAAGACAGGGCCTCCCTAGTGGTT